TTCAGCTTCTAAGACACCAGAGATACTAGAACAACTGGTTAAATCCTTTAAAATTAAAAATCTACTATTTGTTTTTACAGATATTTGTTATCAATAAATCATTTTGATATCCAGATGCTGAGAAACAAGTGGAATACAAAATTAGAGGTGCCTATATTTCCCAGACAGTGGAAGAGTGCCTTAACTTCCATAGCAAGAATGCCAACAGATCTTAAACTAAATAACAAAAATAATACTTAAAATTTATTGGACACCATTACATTTGTATAGGAAATGGCATTTATGGGAGATGTAATAAGGATAACGCTTCTTTAAAACACAAGTTTTTACAATGTCCTAATCATGAATTCCCAAATTTGCATTAATTCAGTTGCACTAATTTGCATGAGTGGGTTTGGGAATGTGCAAAAGCCCTATAAGCTGCTACATTTAAGCTAGTCAAAGTAAGCTAGTGACTTATTATATAAAGCTTCAGAGTTTCTTCATTCTTAGTATATAACTTAATGTTTCCTTGAAGTTGAAGAACCCTTACACCAGTCCTGCTGGAGAAGGAAACATTTTTATCTTTTGATTATTATTTTTTTGGCTCATGTCCAAACCTTTTTATAGGTCTGAGGTATACTGGCTAAGGAAGAAATGACATCTTCCACTCAAGTCCAATGAGCTATTTAAGAGACTTGATGCATGGACCCACTGGGATGCCTCTGAACTATATATGCTAAAATTCAAAGAATAATTTGGGGGAAATTAGCACTGCCTTATTCTCTATTGATAAGATCAGTAACTAGAGTTGGGACATGTGTGTGAAACTAATTTATTCCTGACATTTATCTGCTTTAGAAAATGCTTGCATTCAAGTTATTCAGTTCTACATATTTAAGTTAGCCAACTTTTCTGAAAATATGCAATTAGTGCGTATAGACCCTCGAGCCATATTCTACTTCAAGGCCCTCCTTTCTTTGCTGAACAGAACAAAATATTGTTTACATATCAGGATGTTTTGTCTTCCTTGTTACGCCTGCAATGCAAGCATTCTGCTTCAAGATTTCCAAATTACCTGATAATTATGAAATATTCTTAGTTACACTTGTCTGTACTTATCCTTATATTCATTTCCAACATACCAACATCACTTTTAAATATGTCTGAATATGAATACTTTTGTGGAACAGTTCAAATACACTCCTGGCAAGCAATGAATGCTATAAACTGCAGTATTTTATGGTGAGAAAGAGTGGTATACAATACATAAAACAAGCTTCCAGCATTTCAAGGGACTTTTATGAATATTGGTGGCAACTGCATAGGATAAATGCCATTGGCTATTTAGGACCTCTAGATCTGACAAGCTAAAGTGGATTCCATAGAAAATCATACCACTGATCCACCCTCCCCACTTTTGTTTCTAAAAAGAATCTTCAGAGAAATGATTGGCAAACCTATTATTAATCCCCTCACCCACAAGACACAATATAATTTTTTTTCTCCCTCAAAGCTTATTTGTCAACTTTACATTTGAGGAAAAAAAATCCTGTTTTCATTCATAAAACACACATGGCTTCTCTGTATGACCAAAAGTGAGAAGCAAGGCTGCTTAGTCATACATCTAAAAACCTGAACCCTTTGTGCAATAGATACAAGTTTGCAGGTATAGCTCATTGCTGCTCTCATTGTTCTTTGTTTAGAGCCTACTCTAGCAAACTCTGATTTGCCATTTTACTATCTGAAGTGACTTGTACATCCCTATACAACTAATGAAATCACTAACTTGCAATTGCTGTATTTCCTAGGCATCTTATAAATATGCAAAGTACACGTACAGTATGCCTAAACGTACTTCTGCTCATGTAGCACAAAATGTTGAATTCTATTGTTCTGATGCATGACTCCATTGCCACGGGCATTTTCATCAATAGTGTTATATAGGATTACACCAGGAGGGTTTAATAAGAAAGGAGTCACATCAGCGACAGCAAGAATATGTCCAAGGGGCACCCATTACAAACCCTCTAGCATTATACAAAAGGAAAAGCTAGAAATAATTACTACTTTGCTCTTATGCAGCCTCTTCCTGCTTAATAGTAAACATAATGATTTACCTAATGAAAAGTTTAATTGTGATGGGAGGGACCTGGGAAAGCTGTTACACCAAGCTCATGATTTCAAATCTTTCAGCAGTAATTAAGGGAGATAAAAGCTCATTCTATATACATAAATAAGATAGCTGCTAATTTATTAAAACTATACACCCAAGCTCAAAGGCAAGTTAATATTTCCCACTGGTGTGTTAATTTGCTTTAGTGGGCTAGCTGGCTGGTCTTCTGCTCACATGTCTCCTCTGTATGCTTTAACATTCTGGACATTCTATTTCACAATTTTTCAATATTCCACATTTTATCTGCATAGGTCTTTTTAAAGCAACCACGATCCAGAAATCTACTGCAAAGTTCACAGGAGTAGCGAGGGAAAGGACAATTAATCTACCAATGATTTCTTTTTATCATTGTCATTATTACTACTGCCATTGTCAAATCATTTTTAAAACCCTGCTTCCTCCAAGTAGAAAGACTCCTTAATCTACCTGGCACATTGAAGCCAAGCAAGATTAATATATAAAGTATATTTAGTATTGCTGTTGAGAACTGTAGAAATGTACACCTTGATAGGTAAAGGTAAAGGTTCCTCTCTCACATATGTGCTAGTCGTTTCCGACTCTAGGGGACGGGGCTCATCTCCGTTTCAAGGCCGAAGAGCCAGCGCTTTCCGAAGACATCTCCGTGGTCATGTCGCCGGCATGACTAAACACCAAAGGCACACCGAACAGTTTTACCATCTCACCAAAGGTGATCCCTATTTTTCTACTTACATTTTTTACGTGCTTTCGAACTGCTAGGTTGGCAGAAGCTGGGACAAGTAACTGGAGCTCACCCCATTACGTGGCACTAGGGATTCGAACTGCTGAACTGCCGACCTTTCGATCGACAAGCTCAGCAACTTAGCCACTGAGCCACCGCGTCCCTTACACACTGATAAGAGTCATGCAAAAATGCTACGGGACAGCTGGTTTCCGTTAGGATTGCAGCTGTCTATTTACATTGCACAATATCCACTGGCTGTTCTGAAGATTCTCTTTCCTCTCAAACTAGGTTTTCTTTCTCCCTCTAATTTTTGGGGGTTTCCGCAAACCTTGAGATTACTTTCTCTGTTGTTTCATTGCCATTCTTGCTACGTAAGCACAACTGTGTATTGAAATATTGAATTAGATAGAGAAAGTGGTCATTGCAAATCCTTAACCTTAATGACTCTTAGCAATAAAACAAAACTATTCAGAAAAAGACTGTTAAGTCCCAAGATTCAGTGATGGCAGATTGCCCAATTGGTTTCTGCAAAGGAAATAACCTCATCTAGAGATCTACCAAGTCTGATTATTGCATACAGTTATTATTTTCAGAAGCTAGGAAAACCACCAAATGGCAGTGGGATTCCAGACAATCAAAAGTGCTCAGAGGAAAGAAGGATGGTGGGCTTGGTACAACACAATGGAAGGCAATAAACTAGTGCTGGAAATCAAAAATATTTTTTTGTAAAAATTGATCAGGAACTTGATGACCTGCCTCAGAACACAACAATCTCTTAAGAGTGATTTTCCAATACAACATGGGAAGTTTTTAGCGACCATAAATCTTAAGTGGAGAGATCAGGAAAAAGAATTTAGAGCAAAATAAATAAATATAAACATAAAATAAATTATATTAAATACAGTTAATACAATTATTCACAGTGTAGTTTCCTTTGTCAAATTAAACTAACTTTAGTGACAGAAGTCCACATTCAAGGCTGTGGTGCATGTTTTGAGCATCGGAAGCTGTGGGAATATGTAGACACAAGACTCCCTACCCAGAAATATCAAACAAGCCTTCTGTTCCCTTAGTAGAGCGTATTTGATTAGAAGAATGTCATTTTCTGAACTAAGGCTCAGAAAGTGCTACGTTTGTTAAGCAACGGACTGAAAACATTTGGAGGCACATCCAAACTAAACACATGACAGATACACCTACAATCATGTGAACCTGCCAATTCTAGTCCTCCTTTCTCTTGCTTATCTGAGTCCATCTCAATCAAAAGTATTAAAAATAGTGACAACAATTAAAGAAGCACTGTGAGAAAACATTTTTATTTGCTTTGTCTGGGATGTGTTTTTAACAGGTGAAAGCATTCTTGTTTCTAGAAAAAACTTCATTATATTAAAATCAATTAAAATCTGTTGATATCAGCGTATGAAAATGTATTAGGAGCACAGCCAAAATTATTAGATGATTTTCTGCTGAAAAATTTCTACGATCATTCCTAGGGTGGGTAGATGGGCTTTCAATGGGAATAATGGCTATTCTTCTATATTATTGGACCATTCCAACTTTTTTTTCACACTGGGAAACCAATAGTGCAACATCCCATGAGAATTTTATAGGAAGATTCTAGATAAACATTTCTATAAGCTTTGTTTATATACATCTTCCTTAACAGTATGTTTTGCTGCAGTATTACTGGAATAATCCCTTCACAGAACACCACACAATCAAGTCCAGTTCTCTGGATGCCAAATAGAGGACTGATTTTTATTAAAAACACCTTCCTTTTTACAACCCTGTAATCCCTTAATTCAGGGTAGAGTCGGGGTGACTGGATGAAGTTGAGCATTTACTGGCTGGATACCCTTCCTGACACCATGTGCAGTTCACAGCAGAATTTTTTTTTTGTTTGTGCTCTATGAGAGAAACATCTGATGCTACCTACGATTGAACTGTCAACCTTCCAATGGAAGGTGACCGTCTTCGCCACCAGGCTACCCCATTGCTCAGAGGGCTGATTCCTAGGAAATTGATAATATATTCCACTATAAAGGAATTCCGTGAGCAGACCATACCCTTTACAAAAAATAGAAACAAGGTTCAGCTGGTGAAGATAATGCAGCAGAGAAAAAAAAGCATAATGTTACAGACCTCAAGTCCAGAAAAAGAAATAGACGAATCCAATGGTCTCTTCTTTCTTGGCCCAAGGGCTTCCAGAGCTGCACGATTAGCCTCCCTCTGCTGCATTTGTGCAAATTCTAATTGTTGCATCTAAGAGTAAGAGAAAGTTATGGAAAATTAAATCTGAATATAATGAAAGCTATAGTTTATCAGCTTTTTTCCCACTTGGACCTGCTCTTTAAATAGCAGGGAAGTTTTATCCGTCCTAAAAATACATACAAACAAACTCAAAAAATTGGGTCAGATTCACACTTGGACAGCACTGTTCACAAGATCCATCTTTACTATACATTAAATTATTTCAGTAGGATTTTTTATCATATAAGAAATGTGGTCCAAAGCTGTTAAGTGCAGTCAGCTCAATCAAGGTATTATTTTAAAATACTGGTAGATATTTTATGCACCAGGTTTTACTATAATTTTTGGTTTTGCTACAGATATTTTAGCTTCCTTCTTGCAAAGGGCAGCTTTGAAATATAAATATTTACTTAGATTCCATTCTGGGGGCTGCTTATAAAAAGCTCAAATAGCTATACTATTCGTGTATATAAATACTGTTGTAATCTATGACAACTTTGTACATGTGAGCCACACCTATGTGCCTTTATCTCTTGACAGAATTAATAGTGATAAACATCAGTTACTGAGGTATATGGGGGAAGATGTGTGTTCTTAAACTAAATAAAGCATGTCCCCACAAAGCCAGCTGAAACTTTTAGCTACATCCTTATATATTCGCTCAAAAAAAAAAAAAAAAAAAAAGGCAATCAGAAGCCATAGAGAAAGCGTTTCAAAACCATTTCCCTTCTTCGATTTTTCCATCAGCTCCAAGTACAAAGATTTTTTAAAAACCTGTGTAAAGATCAAATTGCCATGAAAACATTGCAGAAATGGTAAAATGGTCTTTGTTGCTCCTGGCCTTTTTAATAATAATATATAGGGTTTTAAAAGTCTAGTCTTAAAGCAATCAAGTAGTTTCTAGGTGACACAATAACCATTTTGGTTAATCTGACCTGAAGCACAAATAAAGTAGAGGTATATTTTTAAAGCCCTTCTCAATAGTTAGATGGCATATGCAGCCAAGCTACAGTCACACAAAGGAATTTAAAAAGGGAACTATGCTCTGTTCAGCATTAAGGGGAAAAAATCTATCTTCACAAATTAAATTTTTCACATTTATAAAAGTTCATTGCATCACCTTCACTTACCTCCACGTTTTATGCAAATATGTTATCTACCTGTTACTTAAAAGACTCATGCTAGCTTAAAATGTCCATACAAACCAAGGTTTGTTGCCAGGTCAACTGAAACATGATTTTGTTCACCTTTAGGAATGCTTTCTCCCAAACCAATGCTTTCCAGATGTATTTGGATTACAACTGACAAAACACTAGACTGGAAATTAGAAGTTGAAATCCTGAACTATCTGCAGAAGACTAACTTTGAGACAGATGCATTAGGACTTAATTGAATATTAAAACACTATCTTACATTTATCCTGTGCAAAAATACAGAACACCCTACAATGTTCAGTAAAGTCTGAATGATCTTCTTTATTATTTTTCAGTCACAAGCCAAATATTGGACAAGTAAAATGGTTAGTCCATCTGCCCTTTAAACTCATTTTCACCTATCACCATCACTTATTCATCCATTTACCATGCGGAATTAGCAATAATGCCACATGTCAACTAGGCAGAATCTCTAGTAACCCTACTACAACCCCAAATCCTAATACTCTAGTCTTTCAGTGAGATTTTTCATAGCCAGCTGCTAAACTCTCTCCCTAAACTCAGTTTATTTATCTTATAACCTTTTCTTCTTGTCTTACAAATATATTTAACAGTATTCTTTGTCCTTCTACAGAATCTTCACCTACTGTAGCATGCTTACATCCCCTAATATTTTAGCTACATTTCTAAAGCTACCCCAGTTAAATAGGTAAAAATTATTTCCAAACCACCAAAGAGTGGTTAAAGCGACATTTTACTTATATTAACATTTGTGACAATGGTGAAATTTGTTACTATGGTTCTGTGGGCGTGGCTTGGTGGGGGTGGGGGTAATGTGACTGGGTGGGCCTGGCCATTATTTTTTTTTATTTTTTTTACTTTTAAACCATTTTTTCTACAACCTCTTCGGCGAAGATGATCCCAGCTGAGTTGCCTGATCGGCAGAGGCTTTTTTTCTTTTAAAAGCCTCTGCCGATCAGGCAACACAGCTGGAATCATCAGAGGCTTTTAAAAGCATTTGACGATCCCAGCTGAGCCGGGTGATCATCAGAGGCTTTTTTTTTTTACTTTTAAAAGCATTTTTTCCGCCGAAGAGGTTGTCGAAAAAATGCTTTTAAAAATTAAAAAAAAAAAGCCTCTGATGATTGTGCGGCTCAGCTGGGCGGCGGGGGGAGGAGGGGGCAGGGATTTTTGCTACCGATTCTCCGAACCACCCGCCTCCATCGCTACCAGATCGGGTGATCCGGTCCGAACCGGGAGCATTTCACCCCTGGTTTGTGATTTATACAGATAGTTTAAAATAGATATAAAAATAAAATTATGTTTTGATTTTAATTGTATATTTAATTGTATATTTGCAAACATATTTTTAATACTAGCTGTTTTATGGAACACCTATATTTATTTTCAGACTATCATTGCTGGCATTCTGAAAAGATTCAAAAGACTGACTGAGGCTGAAAATAATAATTGATTATCTATCAAGAGGGGGGAAAAAAGATGTCTGCAGTAGCACCAATATAGGAACAAGCATTTTGCAACTTAGAGGAAATCAACAAGTCATATTGTGGGAAATAGAAGAGCGTCTCCAAAGGCAATTATTTTCAAGCAACCAGATTCTGAAGAACATAAGAAAGCAAATCCTACAACGTTGAAGTGTGCTTACCCCAGTGAAGACAGCAGCTAAACATAAAAGAAACAGGGAGTAATTCTGATAATAAGGATGTGTAGGAAACTGTTATCTACTTAATGGAGACACTGCATATAATAAACGAAAGTATGAATTTGATGGTACTGAATGGGGAAGAATTTTGCAGATCCTTAAGAGAGTAGGATATTCATAGAGGCTCAAAGAGAGGCAATGAACATCTATATTGTAGAAGTAATCTTTTTTAATGTCATTTAACACACGCATTAACATTTTTAGAGTTCACAGCACAAAGGTTTATTATGTTTTAATGCATGTTTTGCAAGTAAAGTATGGAGCCACACAGATTAAGAAAACTAGTTCAAGCAAATGAAAGGCCAGTGCCATCTGATGGAGACTTGGAAAAAGGTGCTGCTTACTATCTTGGAAAAACTAGACTACTTTTCCATTATCTAAAGTTGAGCTAAAAACACATTCATTTTTTTTCTAAAGAAGAAGAAATATGTAATCATCAACTCCTGATCATTGATTATTGCTACCGTTAAAAATATTGTCTTGGAAATCTTCTGCTAGGATCTCATCCTTCTGCGTACAACAAAACACAACCAGTGTTCTCTTAACACTGAAATGTTGTACAGGTAGTCCTTAACTTACGATCACAATTGAGCCCAAAATTTTGGTTGTTAAGTGAGACATTTGTTAAGGAAATTTTGCCCCATTTCACGACCTTTCTTGCTTCAGTTGTTAAGTGAAATCGCCGCAGCTGATAAATGAGTAACCCAGTTGTTAAGTGAATCTGGCTTTCCCATTGACTTTGTTTGTCCAAAGGTCACAAAAGGGGATCACATGATCCCGGGACACAACAACAGTCATAAATATGAATCAGTTGCCAAGCATCTGAATTTTGATCACATGATCATGGGGATGTACCTGCAAAGGTCGTAATTGTGAAAAATGGTCATAAGTCACTTTTTTCATTGACTTATTTGTAACTTCGAATAGTCACTAAATGAACTGTTGTAAGTCCAGGACTACCTGCATTGTCTTCTTTCTACAGTGGCCTGAAATAACTATTGAAAAAAGGTATATTGAGTAATTTATAGTTTTAAAAAAAGGGGAATTCATAGTTTACAGGAGAGAAACACATTAGATAATGTATATCCCACATGTTCCTCCAAATAGCTAAAAACACAAATAAAACCACAAGCAGCTTTAAGCCAAAAAGGCAGAGCAGCAATAAAAGCCAAACATTAACAACTAATAGAATCAACAGATGGACAATGTCAATATTCCTATTTCCTTTGATACCCAAAATGTTTAAAAGTCCTACATGACTTCTTGGTCCTGTTTTTCTTAAAAATATTGTTTCTTGAAATGTATTTCCACTTTCAGTTCCTTTCCTTTGTATTAGTTTTCCCAGAAAATTTGTTCATTTGTATCTATTTATTTTAAAGATAACTTTTTCATCATTATACTTGATGACATTAGTATTAATTTATCTTAGCATCTCTTGGATTAGTTAACCATTCTTCTAATTTGTGATGTAATTTTTAAAAAAAATTCCTATTGTAGAAGCTTTTAATAAAACTTGCAGGTTCCCTACATATGTGGGAGCTGTGGTGGCGCAATGGTTAGAATACAGTACTGCAGGCTGACTCTAACCACTGCTAGGAGTTCAATCTTGACTGGCTCAAGGTTGACTCAAGTTTCCTTTCTTCCGAGGTTGGTATAATGAGGACCCAGATTGTTGGGGACAATATGCTGACTCTGTAAAGCTTACTGTAAAGCACTACCGTTTCCCCCCGAAAATAAGATCCTGTCTTATATTTTTTTGAACCCCAAAATAAGCGCTTGGCCTTATTTTCAGCGAGGTCTTTTTATTTTGGGGTGCATGGAGGAAACCAGAGGAAACGGCGGGGAACGGCTGCTCATGCGTTTAAATATTTTCGGGGAGGGCTTATTTTCAGCAGGGTTTATTTTAGTGCATGCGCTCAAAAGCCCGATTGGGCTTATTATCAGAGGATGTCTGATTTTAGGGAAAACAGGGTATGAAGTTGCTAAGTGTTATTACTATATGCAACTTTGTATGCAGAACTTTCTGCATGTATGAAATCTGAAGAACTTTATAATTAAAATTATTTTATTTAAAAAAATCTTACATTTTGAAATGCAAGATGTGCATATTGAACCTTCTAGGCACCTTTCCAATTACATTAAAGTTAAAGCTCAGTGCTAATGCAAGTAATACTCCCCAATGGTTTAGCTATATTTATATCCTGAACTAGATTTTTGAAATTTTCTGGTATTAAAATCATGGTCACTGCTCTTACTTCAGCTTCATCCTAAATAATTCTGTCTTAGAGCAGTTAATTGCACCTAGAAATAGTGTTGCTGATACAGCCTTCCCCAACCTGGTATCTTCAGATGTACATGGTGACAATTGTCTATTGGAATCCCCTCAGAGAATTCTGTGGGAATTCTGTGTTCCAATGAATCTGGAAGCATTCAGTTGAGAAACACTACGTAGATTAAGTTCTGTAAACCCAGCCTGCATGAAGCAAATTGAAATTCCTCACTATAAGTGTCTTACCATGTCTTTTGCCATTTCAGGATGCTATCACTGCTAAGTCGAGAGACAAATATTTGCCCATACATGAATACTGTAAGAACAGCCTTTAAGAGCTAGAAATGGAATTTATTTCTGGCTAGACATTTCACTTTTGGAATAAGAGGCATGGTAGGTAACATCACAAATGTGGGTGACACCAACATTTTTGGATCTTTTATGCAATTTGGAGGGCAGGAAAGATAAAAGGACAATGGATTTTTTTTTAATTGTCTGATAGAGCTTCAAGATACCCATACTGAATTTTAAATCCCCAAAGAGAAAATCATCTCATGGAGGGTTTCAGGGCCTAAGCCTCTACCAAGAATAAAGGTATTTATATTGTCCTTCCTCCTAGAAATCAAATATTTACATTATTTGCAAATAGTGATACTTGCAGAGTTGTAGAGATGCAAATATTGGGGGATAATATTGTTGTTTATCTTTTATTATCTAGAATCACAGAACAGAAATCTTGAGAGGACTCTTGGAATTGGTGACTATAGCATCCTCAATAAATGACCAAGGAGAATCCACTACTATCCAAAATAGTGTTCTACTATCAAGACAAAAAAAATATAAATCCAACCATCTTTTTTTCTCTGCACAAGCTGACTGGGACCATTTATTCTGAGAGATCTACCTAGTTTTCTACTTTAAAAAATAGCATAACTATTACCACTTTTATGACTACATTTACACCCAGCTTTCCTAAGTGGGCTCAAAGCAGTTTCTGACCTAAAGCAGTTTCTTGTTATCTTACCCAAGCAAGTTGTGAAGTAACTAGCAAAGTCACATACTGAGCACCGCAATCAGAGAATTTGAATGGAGGATCTTACCTTAACCCCTATTAACCCACTGACTCATCTAATGGAATTAATATGAACACTGATTTAGACATATTTCCTAAATAGGGATGTGATGGTCTATTCAGTTATGGCTGCCTAATAATCCTGCCTCTGAATACAGTAATGAAAAAACTTTGAGAATTCTGTTACATCTTAATGTAGATAACAGCATATTGTGTAATAGGGGTCAGCTATTTTTTATGGCCTTAAATTTTATCCATAATATCAAAATCTTGGTATCTGTCACATTTCTTATATGAACCGCAGTTAAATACGCTAAGCTTGTCAGGTGGAAAGCTGACAGCCCAGGTTTGAGACCCGAATGCCACGTGACGGGATGAACTCCTGTTCTTGCCCCAGCTCCTGCCTACCTAGCAGTTCAAAGACATGCAAATGCAAGTAGATACATAGGTACTTTGTTGGGACGGTAACAGCGTTCTCTAAGCCTTGGCATATAGATATGCTGGCCATGCACCCACAGAAGTGTTTTTGGACAACACTGGCTCCCTCAGCTAAGAAAGGGAGATGAGCATCACCTCATAAGTCGGACATGAATGGACAGGAGAAACCTTTCCTTTATTTCATTCAGCAATTTTATTCTGGAGGAAAGGAGTGCTACACTGGTGCCGTCTGGCTTATGTACATTTTATCAACCACATAAGCAATGAGGAATTCTGGGAGTTAAAGTCCACAAGTCTTAAAGTTGCCAAGTTTGGAGATCCCTGACATAGGTTTACCGTAATAAAACATATGTCAAGTACACTGCCAGGAATCATTTTAAGAGGGACCAATATGAACAAGCATACAAGGTGTTTCAATTATATGGCAATATGAGAACTCTTGTTATTTTTATCCCAGAATGCCCTACATTGCCTAATTCCAGCCTACCGACTTCCAGCAGTTCACAAACTATCCCTTAGAATGTTTAGTTAGGCTTGTTCGGAAAGAAACTTGTGAAGCCAAATGGTGCCCCCACAGAATGCTTTACAGGTCTTAATGGAGACCAATGAGACCCAAAGACCAGGTCACTTTTGTTAAAGTTGGCAACGTGCAGCTCTTTTGACATCAAAACCCGTCTGAAAGAATGGCATGCACCTTTACTTCTTCCCTCCTTCTCATCTTCTTTGCTTTGGCTGGAAACTGGTGCATTGATTTTCCGACCATTTTACTGGATTGCTATTTATTTTGCCTCACCTCTTACATTAATCCAAGCAATAAGGGCTTTTAAAGCATTCATAAATAACCCACTGCTGCTACTATTGGCATCTAGAAGCCAACCGTAGCAATGTTAAGCAACAACAAATTTCATAGTTCAAGAGGCACAGTTAAGAAAAAGGTTGCTCAGAAAAATCACTCATTTACTACAAAGATCTTTTTTTAAAAAATGGCACAGAATCACTCAAGTAACTATAGAAACCAATTTCTTAAGCTCAGTATCACACATCTCCCACCTCAATTGTCTTTATTATTGTTTTCTGTCAGATCCTTAATCAGAAATGTGAACAGGCTTGATTTATTCAGTGGGGGAAAAAGAATCTGTAGGTCAAGTTAAAAAAAAAAAATTCTCACTCACAGAGTTTTCAACCTTAGGTATTTTCATTTAATTCTGTTCCCAGTAGCTCTGGGGGCAACTCCAGCGAGATCCAATATTAAGGCTCAATTAAAATAAGCTCCAATTAGTGGAGCTTTTTTCTCTCCGGCTAAAAAAGTCAGGAAATGGATATTGGGAAATGTAAAAAGTCAGCTACTGAGAGGAGGCTGCAGCAGACATAAATGAACTTATTTGTTGATTTCTGCAGTTGCTATGCAGAGGCCTCTGGGAGTAACAGCTTAACCAGTCTAAGCTATAAACTAAAACCCCTGCAGCTAAACATGAACTGTGTGAAACAAGGGCTCCATTCCAGAACAGAAAACTGCTGGGCCCAGAAAATTAAAAGCCAGAGGCGTTTTCCATTTAAAACTAAATCCCAGTACCACCTCCCAGCCAAAGAATTATAAGCAGTATCAGATTTACAAAACGAACAATTACCCTGGAAAAATGTAGGCTATTGTACGGTCCCAGATGCTAAATCTTAAAGTGTCTTCCCCCCACCTAATCCCACATTATATTCCTATCCAGCGCATTGCTGTAGTTGAGCTCTGCTTAGAAATAGTTATTTGTGAACTATGAAAGTAAAGTGTTAAGAGCTGATAATTCACTGGCCTCATTTGAAGCGTTGCCCTTGCCTGCAGCAGTTCCTGTCCTTCCCCAAGGCCTCCACAAATGGTATGCAACAGCAAAATAAACCCTGACCTAATTGCCAGGGGAGGCCTGCCAACCTCTCCTCCTAACACGAAGCCAAACCTGGTAACTTGAAAGTCGTACCTCTTTTGCTTTCTGCTTTAAACGCAGCTGCTCTGTATCTTCTTTATTGCAACGGCTCTATTAAAAAAAAGGAGAGAGAGGGAGGGAGGGAAAGAAACGTAATGGAAGTTACCCAAAATACAAACATTATCCTTAAATATTTAATCAGCTACTTTTTTTTTGTTCTGATTGGAAATCTTAGCTCTAGGGGCTTCACGCCGCAAGCCAGACTGGCTTGGTTCTCCCCACCCCACCCCCCTCCATGAAACATCCTTTCATCAGGGACGGTTGCCTTGCTTGTAGCCCAGAGGAAGCTTGAACTAAAAATGATGCTAACGTTGTCAGTCAGGTCCAGCATAGGCATGATGATGTTCATGTCAGGAGCAGACACTTGGGGAGAGAAAAGGAAAAGAAAGGCAGAAGGGGGAAAAGAATGCTCTAACCCCATGTTCTGCTGGAATAATACAGTAGGCTTGCCTTAGGGGGCCTAATTTTAAACTCCCTTATTTCAGAATGAGGTAGATTTAAAAATAGAGCCGTTTATACGGGTTGTGATAATCGGTTAAAATGTATCTGTCAGGAGGTCAATATAGATGATCAGCCAGCAGATGTTCTTAGTAAGTCTGCAAAAACTGGCTAAAGGCCAGACAGCCCCTGACACCTTTAAAATGGGAATACCACACTGATCTATTCTATGAGAAGGAAGTGGGACCATGATCCTGGGAATCCACTCCATTGGCTAACTGGAAGCTGTTAATTTTAATTTCAACTTATGCCTCTTGGTACCATGAGTTCGGTGATGAAATCTAAAATTTGTTACTATTGGTTCTGTGGGCGTGGCTTGGTGGGGGGTTAATGTGACTGGGTGGGCATGGCCATTTTTTTTTTTTACTTTTAAAACCATTTTTTCTATAACCTCTTCAGCGAAGTGGTTGTAAAAAATCCTTCCAAAGGGTCTGACGATCCCAGCTGAGTTGCCTGATCGGCAGAGGCTTCTTTTCTTTTAAATGCCTCTGATCAGGCAACTCAGCTTGGATCATCAGAAGCATTTAAAAGAAAAAAAGGGTTTTTTTCTTTTAAAAGCCTTTGACGATCAGGCAACTCAGCTGGAATCATCAGAGGCTTTTAAAAGCATTTGACGATCCCAGCTGAGCTGCGCGATCATCAGAGGCTTTTTTTTTTACTTTTAAAAGCATTTTTTCGGCCGAAGAGGTTGTAGAAAAAATGCTTTTAAAAGTAAAAAAAAAGCCTCTGATGATTGTGCGGCTTAGTTGGGCATGGGGGGGGGGCAGGGATTTTTGCTACCGGTTCTCCAAACCACCAGCCTCCATCGCTAACAGATCGGGCAATCCAGTCAGAATCGGGAGCATTTCACCCCGCATGAGTTCCATCCAGCATCAAATTGCCATCCAACTCAACACTTCCAGAACTAAGAACAAGTGTTCCACTGGCTATTTTCTTGAGGCTGAACCACAATTTACTTCAATAAAAATTTGTCTATACTTCCTGAGATTTCTTTCTGCCCTATTAACACGTTCTTGCCTATTTTTAGATAAGCTAACTTCTGTTTTCTTGTAAGGTAGTACTCAGTTTACGACCACAATTGAGTCCAAAATTGATGTTGCTAAGTGAGATATTTGTTAAGTGAGTTTTGCCCCATTTTACAGCCTTTCTTGCCACAGTTGTTAGGTGAGTCATTGCAATTGTTAAGTTAGTAACATGGTTGTTTAAGTGAGTCTGATTTAGCCATTGATTTTGCTTATCAGAATGTTTCAAAAAATGATCACATGATCCCAGGATGCTACAACTGTCATAAATATAAGTCAGTTGTCAAACACCTGAATTTTGATCATGTGACCATAGGGATGCTGTAATGAATATACGTGTGAAAAAATGGTCATAACTCACTTTTTTCAATAATATTGTAACTTTGAATTGTCATATGTCAAGGACTACTTGTATAGTTTATCTTTTTCATTAATTAGGAAGTCTTAAGGAGACTCCTTAAGCGGGAACACAGTGGCTCAGTGGCTAAGACAGAGCTTGTCGATTGAAAGGTCGAATCCCTAGTGCCGCGTAACGGGGTGAGCTCCCGTTACTTGTCCCAGCTTCTGCCAACCTAGCAGTTCGAAAGCACGTAAAAAATGCAAGTAGAAAAATAGGGACCACCTTTGGTGGGAAGGTAACAGTGTTCTGTGCGCCTTTGGCATTTAGTCATGCCGGCCACATGACCACGGAGATGTCTTCGGATAGCGCTGGCTCTTCGGCTTTGAAACGGAGATTCAAAGAGTCGGGAACGACTAGCACATATGTATGAGGGGAACCTTTACCTTTAAGGAGACTCCACCTTCTTCCATGAGGAACTCCAGAAATTACCCCTACTTGGCGACAGGACAGGGGAAGCAATTTTCCCACCTGTGTAGTTATTGGCATTTACTACATAGAACAGGCTCAATATATCATTCTTTCTGCAGCAAGTTTTAAAAATTATTTCCTTTAATATAGATAAAGAGGCAAAATAGTCCCAACAATGAAAATAAAGAGAAAAAAGATTTTTGCTGCCGTTCCTTGTCTTCTACATTCTCTCACCTTGGCTACTCGGAGCAACTCTTCTTTTTCTTCTTCATCTTTCCTCCGTTTTTCAACCTGATCCAATTGTTCAAGAAACTGAAGTTGAGACCGCGTATCATTAGATAAAATGTACCTGTCATTCCCCTTGAAGGGAAAAAAAAAGCAAATACATAATTTGTTACCTGCACAACAAAATTTTCATCTCAACATAAGGATCTATTTAATTACAAAACAACATAGAATATAGTAATTTGTTAACCATAGAAAACAAGAACTTTTTAGAGATAAACACCTACATATTGGACAAATCACTTAATATAGCTAACTTGTTTCCTTTCTGGAAGCATTTAAAGTACAAATGCCCTTTATTCATAATGAATTCAAGTTTTTATTCACTTGCATATCCCTTTGTGGCACTCAAATATAACTTGCCTTTCATTTGCAAGTAGAGCCATTCCTGGGAAAATCCCTGGCAGAAACTTCAAAAACAGCTCTGTAGTCTCATTGTTCTAACTGCTATATAACTGGGCTCATTGGATTTTTAAATAAAGGCAGCTGCAGTTAATACCAAAAAAAATGTTTTCTGAAAAAGTGATAGTATGCTTCCTAATACTAAAAATTCCCAAACACATGATTTCAAGTGTCTAACTTCAAAATACGTCAAATGTAAAAAGGCAGAGGTGAAATCTTTCGGAAAAAGTTATGGAATTAATTATGAGTGTCTCATAGCCCATTTACAGTAGTGGCCAAAATTGTGGAAACCTTCTGGAAAAAGTGTATTTTTGAGGTTTGATAACATCACTTTTTTTTTGGAGTTTCAAGATAATCATATTCCACTACTGGAATGACTTGGGAATAGCCCAGAGCTTAACCCAATTGAAAATCTATGGAGCCAACTAAAGAAACTTGTTAGTCAGAAGCAGTGGTGGGTTGCTACCGGTTCAGTCCAGTTCTTGCGAACCGGTAGTAACGGTGGCGGGAGGCTCAGCCCACCCGCCCAGACGTCATCACAACCGATCTGCGCATGCACAGAAGTGTGCGTGCCTGTTGCGAACCGGTAGCGAAGGTAAGTGGAACCCACCCCTGGTCAGAAGCGACCCAGCAATAAAACCCAGTTAATAGAAGCAATCATTCAATCTTGGTTTCACATTATAACAGCTGCAGAACTAAAAGACTTGGTTCACTCCATGGGAAGACGTTGTAAGGCCGTAATTCATGCTAAAGGTTACCCAACAAAATATTAACTGATGTGATAATTATTGTACATCTCATTTTTTCTATGGTGATAATTTTTATATATCTCATTTTTTCTACGTGTTTCACTTTTCTTCTTCATACTGTAACTGCTATTCTAATAGCAAGCCCTTCATAAAAGTTAATGCATTACATTCTTGATTAAATTATCTTTCCATTGATATATAATTTTATGGTACTACTCCAAAAAAAAAAAGTGGTGCTATTAGCTAGTTTTAGAAAGTACACTTTTCCCAAAAGGTTTCCACAATTTTGATCACTAATGTAAATATACATAATATAGGGAGTCTTTCACTTATGACTACAACTGAATCCAGAATTTCAGTTGCTAAGCAAAGCAGTTAAGTAAGTCATGTCTGATTTTACAACCTTTTTTTGCCATGGTTCTTAAGTGAATTACTGCAGTTGTTAAGTAAATCATATTTAACATTAGGTGAATCTAGTTTATTCCATTGCCTTTGCTTGTCTGAAGCCAGTTGGGAAAAATGCAAATGTTGATCACATGACCCCGGAATGTTGCAAACATCATAAATACATGCCAGTTGCCAGGTGCATGAATTTTGATCGCATGATCGTGGGGATGCTACAATGGTAATAAGAGCAAGGACTGGTTTTTCAGTGCCATTGTAACTTAGAATGGTCGCTAAATGAATGGCTATAAGTGGCTATCTGTACCTTTGTCTATCTATTAAAGGGAAAGGAAAGAATAGATTTTGTCAATAATTTTAATCGATTGCAAATGAGATTTAAAATTAGATTCTGAAGGTTGCAGATGGCCTATCTTTATCTTAATCAAAAATTCACAGATAACTGTATGGAATAATACTGAAATGAAAATGGATGATTTACTTAATCAAAGGGGTGGAAATCTGTTTACATATTTAAACTTCCATATGACTAAGCTCAATTGCTATATTGCCAGACCTTATCCAAGCAAAACATGCCATCCTTAGTTATTACAATAGTTAATAAACTTTTTTCTTCCTAAAAATAAAAGCAAAAGAATCTGGAATCTACAGAAGGCTTTTGCTCCTTCCCATCAATGAATACAGTTTGTTTTATCAATATTTTGCATAGTGTGTATGATCCAGGTCCTGTGAGCATAAATTCTTCAGGATAAATTAAGATGAATCATTCCAGGGTACCAGTTATTTTAAAAGGACAAACTGAAACTTGGCAATCATTATTTTTACCTTATAGGTCCTTATACGATGTTGGGCAATTAAAGTTAGTTTTTCTAGAAGTCCTCTTAATCTCTCCTGTGTAGCATGGGAGATCAAGTTCAGAACATCAGAATTAACTTCCATAATGTCATGCCTTTTACCTGTTGAGGCAGAGAAAATCCATTACGTATTTTAGTACTAGCTGATAATTGAAATAATTAGCACAGCAGGCATTCTGTTCCCCCTGGAAGTCATACCCATTATGAATAAAGGTTTGGGAGATTGTGATTTTCCTGGTAAAGTCACAACTTCAAAGATCTTAGACATTACATTAATAAAACCTAGCCTACAGCTTCAGAAAATAGACATTGTTTCACTTAGCCTCTAGAATCACTCTCCTTGCAAGGTCATTTATAGGATAAAGTTAATAGGAATGCAGAAATCAGGCCTTCTGGTTTGGAAAAGGAGAGAAGCAGTAGCTGTAGAAGTTCGTGCCGTATTCTGTTAATTTCAGTAATTAAAAATACAGAAATAGTTTTTGTCCTATTTGACATTGTACTTATTAAATCCTAATGTGTTAATGAACAGAGGTGTATTTTGCATCCTATTGCAGGCATATCTACTATTTGTGCGCCAACCAAAATAACCTATGGCACCTTGACCCGCCCTTGCAGGACAGCTCACTCAGTTAAGATCCAAAACCATTCTCTTTCCATTTCTATCATCACTGCAACTTGTCCAAAGTTTGCTTTTTCTGCACTGCCACTGTCCTCATTCCCTCGACTAATGTTCCCTGGAGCAAAAGGAATGCTGTTTGTTTCAAGTGAAACTGCCTGAGCAATGTTCTAAGAGGAAGCATCACCTCTGTCATGCCCTTAAGTTGCACATATATTAATTCAGGGCTCTTTGTCTGGTTGACAACTGACCTCCATCAGTGCAAGCTTAGAAAAGTACTATGAGTACCTGGGCAATTCAACGCCACGGAAGCAAACAACTTTAAAAAATACACACCCAAAGGCATTTTCTTGCATCTCTTCCTCAGAGGTGTCATAACTGAAAACACCAACTGTAGTGATGTAGAAAAGGCATCTTATTTTATGCCTAGAGTAAAATGTACTCTCAAAATAGATGCATACAAGCTCCTGGCTTCTCTGGCAAGAGAACAAGAAATACCACTGTTGAAAACTAAACAGTCACCTTGTCTTGTATATTAAATTGTTGGGATGTGCTATCAACCAAAACATGCCAGATTTAGAGAGAACTTTTGGCACTGCAAAAAAAGCTTCACTCTAGTAACTCAGATGCTGAGATCCAGTAAGCAAAGAAAGAACGTGGATTTGTTTAAAATGTGGATAGCTTAATTTGCACCCCCAGACTAGGCATTCTACATCTTTTGAAGTAATACTCACTTAAATACAGCATCTCACTTTTCTCAGAATGAAAATATAGATATATACTGCTCAAAAAATTAAAGGGAACACAAGCAGAAGACATCCGAGATCTGAATGAATGAAATAGCCTTATTAAATACTTTGTTCTTTACATACTGTAGTTTACATACTGCTCAAACAACTAAAGGGAACACAAAACTACTGTATGTAACGAACAAAGTATTTAATAAGGCTATTTCATTCATTCAGATCTCGGATGTATTCTGCTTGTGTTCCCTTTATTTTTTTTGAGCAGTGTACAAGTCTTACTATCCAAGAAAATATAGAATGCAATGAGTGCAGCGAACTGGGCCAAGAACAATTATTTCTATGTTTCTATAGTATATTACATTACTGTTATTATTGGAAACTAATTATCTTGAGCTACATATATACATTGCATTTCTTGTAGACTCATTAGAATTAGCTTTTCTAGACATTTAAGAAAAGGAAGGAGCAAGGCAATCTATTCCTGACTCTAGCTATCTTGTCTGCTCAGTAGAAAAGTTCCTCAGAAGCAATATTATTTAGAAAATCAGCACACAACTACTTCCAAATGAAAAGAGACTGTGATCAGGTCATTGATATGCCCATGAAAATCAGGCAAATCAAATCAGAATTGTTCCTTTGATTTGGAAAATCAATTCAAATTGGATTTCAAAACCCATTTCTGTACATGCACAAAAACATCTAAATACTACGGAGACCTTGTTGCTCACTTGAGGTTGTTTGCCTGCCGAAATTTCATCACTCAACTAGGTAACCATCAGTTTACCAATGAGTGGGATTTGTTCCCTATTTATATACATTAGCTTGCTCTGCCAGTATTGGTGTGGTGCACTTTTCTTCTTGGTAATTCCTTAAGATATCAGTTTCTGCTTGTTTTGTTTGTCAGATGCTAAGCCTTGCTTATATAAATGTTGGCTGTTGGACAGGATGTGTTCTGCTTTCTGTTTCCTCCTTAGCTTTTTATTGTCCCTTCTGAATACCTTTTTCCCTTGTGAACTTTATTCATTTGAAGATGCTGTTCATTCATTGTTGTATCTTCTCTAGTTCTTCTCTGAGCCGAGGTGGCACAGTGGTTAGAGTGCAGTACTGCAGCTACTTCAGCTGACTGCTAGTTCAGCAGATCAGCGGATCAAATCTCACCGGCTCAAGGTTGACTCAGCTTTCCATCCTTCAGAGGTGGGTAAAATGAAGACCCAGATTGTTGGGGGCAATAGGCTATTTAGTATATTGTCTTTGCTGTAAGCCGCCCAGAGTCCTCAGAGAGTGGGCGGCATAGAAATATGACTAATAAAAGTAAAAAAATAAATAATAGTTGTTCCTTTATTTTGACAAAGGTGTCTTACACATCAGATCTGTATTTTGGTTGTTATGTGTGGGAGTGTTATAGTTTCTATAGTTTACTAAAGTGTTACTGTTTCTGATATGAGTCCTGAGACCTATGGATGTTCCTCTGATTTGTTGATATATTTGTCCATCAAACTTAAAGCAGATAGTGAGGCAGAGGTTGATGAGGTCTAGGATTCTGGATATTTTGACTTTACTGTATTTGGTTAGGTTGGGTATATTGTCTGGTACTGCTGCCATAGATCCTTTGTTATTTCTGGGTCTATGGTGCTAAGAATGCTGGGATGTCAAATAAAGTAATAATTTCATGTTCTTCTATTTTTAGACTTTAGACTTGTTGAAGGCTTTTAAATTCTCTTCTATTGGGGCATCTAAATAATCCAAACAGATTGAGATCCTGTTTTGCAATTTCAATTTGATACTTTCCAATTTAATCTGGAGGTTTAATTGAATACTTTTTTCAGTCAAATCTCTGAATACTTGAATGGTCCTCAAGAACAATCTAAGTTAGTACTGTTAACATGAAGACTAATTCTGGAATCATGTTAAACATGGATTTAGGCTCCTGTCTGATCCTCTTAACATAATTTGTAGTACTATCATAGAAAATTGTTTTCAAGTAGATGAATTTCTTCAATAATCTTGAAACTAAAGAAAGGATATAGCAAAAACTATCTTCCAAGGGAATATTCAGGAGAGCTGCATGAGCAAGACAATGAACACAATGAAGTCTTTGGGTTCATTCTGTTTGGGCCAGGACAAGCACATCTTTTCTAACTGCCCTGAATAAATCATACAATACCAATACCTCTGTTAGCATACGAGTGGACTTGGCAATCATGAGCTTTTGGACCAGGGACTTACATAGTTGATGGGAAAGTCATAAATATTTAAAGCAAACTTTAAGTTCTTTCAAGAAAATCATGCATGACAGACATAGGAAACTCAAGTTGTTTAGTACTTGCTTGAAAATGTTTCAATTTCTGACCAAATAGGTGAAAAAGTACAGGTAGATTTTTCTCAACTGTTTGTTTTATATATTTTCATTCATAATCTTTTCAGAAACACTCTTACAACTCTGTTCAAGTTGGCCTCAAAAAAAAAAAAAATCTAACACAGTGCTGATGCCATGACCCTAAAAAAATAGCATAAAATAAAACTTTAAAGGTAACTTCAAATGTATGCTCTGTTTCAAGATGAATGTTAATAATGTTACACATGAGTTCCATCACATCCATTTTAGTAATGATATGCCATCTGTTTACTGCTTAAACTTGGAAAAAAACATGTGTTCCTTCTTCAAACAAAGAGTTTGAAGAGCTATTTTCCCAACTTCTCACCTTTTTTTAAGATCCTCTTCTGCAATGCCTCTGAAGAGAGGAGGAGCTTGTCTGGACAAGAGCACAAAACAGTACCAATTGCGTCAGAATTTGTTGTCAATATGCATGCATGCTCTTCATTCAAGTTAACTCCAGCCATAGAAGCCACATCATTAATGTCATCTTCTTCCCTAAAAGCAAGCATACATTTTGGACTGGGTTATGCAAGGAAATAAAACTGTTCCATTAAATAAATGTGATATTTATCCTTAGAAAAAATTGGATTACTTCAATTATTTGACACATAGTATTAAAATTTAGCATAAAAACACTAATGGCTTAGTATTATTTCATTTATGTTAAGAAACAAATTTAGGCAGTCAGAGTGTGAAACATTAAGAAATGAACTGTGGTCAGGCCTTCAAAGACAAGTGCCTAAAAACACAAGAATTGTGAGGGTCAGTATTTACTCCCATAATTCTTAAAATCTTAATTTATGAACAAACTCATCCGTAACAGGTAAGTACACAAGTCATGCTAAATCAAGCTCCATAATTCTTCTATAGAACCAGGCCAACATACATTTCTGTAGCATAAAAGTCAGCATTTAACATCCAGTTTTTATCCAGAATATCTAACGGAGATCCACAAATAAATACCACCACACAAGAGCCCTTATATTTTTGGGTGAACATAATCCAAAAGAAAGAAATTGTGAAGGGGGAAGAAGATACAAGTTTTTGCAGGGAATATCTAAATGAATTGAAGAATATAGTGCAAACAATATTCTAACATGGGGAGTTAGGAAGAGCTGACAAACCTGCTCAGGAAGATTTATTTTCACTGCTGCAGAACATTTGACAAGTTATCAAAGAATTATATTCCTTTTGGTTCCTTAGAAACAGTATTGGTATTATACGATTACAAAATAAACAGTAGAAATTTGTCTTGTTCAGATTTCTATGCATTAAGCAATAAGAATTAGGTTAATGAAGTCTGGTTTGAATAATTTCACTGAACTCTGCTCTGAATCTTATTTCAAAAAATTCAAAGTTTCACGTTTTCCTACTAACCCAGGGAGAAATCAAGAACACTGTATTCTATGGTTTTTCAAGCAGCGGGATCAAATCTGCAAGCAAATGATGCTTGTCAAAATTCTGGTGTATAATTGGAAAAAGCCTTTTGTAACTCTATAGATTTGGAACATTGTTTAAACAATATCCACTATGATTTTTGCAAAGAGTTAAAATGAAAATGGCACATATCAAAAAGAAATCTTGGCTACATGACTTGAAATGTTTAAGACAGGTGTAGGAATTAAACTTAAAATGAGCAAAATTGAAGTTGATATTCCATTAATTTCTACGTTACTGTCACTAATTACTAAGCTATTTCTCTTACATCTCTCCAAACAGAGAGAAAATCTCATACATTAAGTAGTAATTAAAGAAAAAGAGCTGTAGCAAAGTCACATCCTGACCAGAATACATATTATGGAATGGTTGGGAGAAAAATATAAAAATACTTAACAAGAGTTATACAAAAACTGTACATACTCTGCTGCTTTACTGAACACCCACTCTCTTTGGATACTTTATACTGAATTACTTCAAAGAGGACCATTTCTTCTTTCATCAAAGAAGAGTACACTTCAATCCTTTCATATGAAAAGCATGGGTGGTCCTAATAAAAGTCTACCAAAGGACAGCATTAAAAGATATGGGGTTTTAATGAGGCATATCTGTCCACTGAAAAACATGAACGTATATTTTCTTCATCTACAACAGAGGTCTTCAAACTTGGCAGCTTTAAGATTTGTGGACTTCAACTCCCAGAATTCTCCAGCCAGCTGCCAAGTTTGGGGACCCCTTATCTACAATTTCGCAAGCTGTTATGTTTGTGGCCAAATACTTAGGATTACACAAATGGGAAACAAATATCCTTCTTTTAAGGCAGAATTTCTTAAAACCTTTTCCTTTCAGGAACCTCTCCCCACCACACTTTTAAAAACAGTAAGAGTTTGTATGATATGAACTGTATTAAAAATGAACACCAATGCATTTTTAGAATATTTATTAAAGCAGGTAAAAATAACATGAAACGGTTAGATATGAACGTAAATAAATTTCTCATGGAAACTTATTTTTTTTAACAAATAAAAAAGTAGTAACAAGGAGAATGACATTGTTTTATTTTTTTGAAAATATGTTCAACATCTGGCAAATAAGTTTGGTTTTGCAGAGTCCTAAGGGAGTCTTGAGAGACACCCAGAGATCCTCAGATCACACTTTTAAGAAACATTCGAAGGTATTTGTGAACCATTTCTTCAGAGTGATATTAAATTATTCCATCTATTACAGAAGCCTATTCTCTCCACTTATGTTACTGATAACTTATATCTGTGCCTTCAAATTACACTGACTTTGAATAACTGAACACAGGTATTCGAAGTTACTGAAAATCCTTTCTGGATCTCATTTAATAAATTTGCAAGTGGCAAAACTTCCAAGCAAGTCTTTACCACCCTCTGCTGTTCAAATAGTGACCATGCACTTTTAATGTTATTTAATTACTCCATTGTTCTAAAAATAGGAATAGGTGTAATGAGCCAGGCAAGAGAGTTATAATCTGAAATTTAATGGAATAATTTAGATTTAATCTAGGACCAGGCAATAGTACTATCAGATTTTAAATAGATACTGTACATGCCTATCTCATTCAAAATAGTCAATAACATTTTCATTTTTTGTTCTTGGAAGGAACTGACATATGGATTAAACTTCTTGATACTAAGAAACGAACAGTCACAAGAAACTGTTTTATAAAAAGGAAATTATCCTTACATACTCAGACTTCTGATACTTTCCTATACAATGAGAATTGTATGACTAATGAAGAAACCAACTGCGTTTTCTTTTTCAGTTGTTTTGTTCAGACGTAGAAACCATGAGGGCATGCAAGCACCGTCACAAAACTGGTGTGCCCCTCGTCAAGGGAGACCCCTTTTTCCCTGCTTATGTAATAGCTCAGTGGCCCCAAACCTTTCGGGCACCAGGGATCAGTTCTGTGGAAGGAGTTTTTTTCCACGGACCGGAGGGGGCATAGTTTCGCATGCTGCCTGTTTTCCGTGGATGGGGCTTCGCTTGTTTGCCTGGCTCCATTTTGGTATGCCGCAGCCTTGTTCCGGTCCATGGACCAGGGGTTGGGGCAATAGCTGCACAGCTCCAGGAAAATACAAGCAGTTCTCACTTACCAACTGCCTTGGTTAGCAAGTGTATGCAGTTACAACAGCATAAAAAAAAAACAACCAGCTTTGTAACTAGTCGTCACATTCATGACCATTGCAGCATCCCTCAGTCCATGATCACCATATGGGTGTTTCACAATTGGCACACATTTATAACTACAGCAGTGACCCACAATCATAACATTGCCACTTACAGGCTTCCCAAAAAGCTTGCAACAAGCAGAGTTAATGAAGAAGGCAAAAGTAAAACCACAAGTTATGGTCATTTGATATCCCACTTAATGACCACATAAGTTACTTAACAATCAAACAGGACATTAAGTTACTTAATGTCTGTTGTGTGATTTTTTTGCTTAGTGGCCGAAGTGCTTAGCATCCAAATTGCCTCTCCAGTTGCGGTCACTAAGTGGTGTCTACTTTTACCCTTTTAAGCTAAGGAGCTGGCAATAGGGTATGATGACATGAACTTCACTGCTGTCTCGTTAACTCAAACATGTACTTTCCTAAAACTGCAAAGTTTTTGCACAAATCCAGAAGAAAAAGGTCCCATTGCTTATATTTGGGATCCAAACAGATTCATTCCATGACTTTCCTTTCAGCAGACAATTAGAGCTTCTTTGCATACTGTTAATAAAGATGTATGCTTAGAGAAAGTGACTGGCTCAAGGTCACCCAGCTGGCTTTATGCTTAAGGCAAGTCTAGAACTCATGGTCTTCTGGTTTCTAGGCTGATGCCCTAATCACTACATCAAACTGGCTCTCAAAAATCCCATGTATCATCATTCAGTAAATAATTCCCTTAAAATATATAAAAATGTTTTGTTCTGCTCTCTACCAGAAAGGTAAGCCTGAAGGTAATCTGACATCGATCAGCTGCAGCACAAACATCTGTACTATTTATTGAAAGACCTCATCATAGGTTGCTCTGCTGCTTCTCCAAATTTCTAATCGATTTTCACAGTTGATTATATATTATATATGTTTTGAATATATTACCATATTAAAAACCAATATGCAATTAATTTGCCTCAGACTTAAATGGCTTAAAACCTTTCAAGCAATTATACTACACAGAAAATATTCCCAGATTTTATCATTCAAATTCAAAGAAACGTATTAATAATTGTGAGTTCTGAGGCTTCATAAAGTGGCTTCTTAACACTCATACGGGTATTTGTCATTTGATTTAATACATTTTCAATAGTAAGCAATCAGTTTTGTTTACTGCGTCAATAACATATGTACTAAACTTATCAGTTAACCAAGTGAAAATTTGGGTTTTGTGCTCCTGGAATCTACTGGAGTTGCAAAGTATTATTTAAAACAGCTGCTAGGACAAAATCTTGGAGTCCCCTGCCCCCTTCCCCAATCATCAGCTCTAAATCTTTGAAGCAAGGAAGTGAGGACAGTTATCAGAAATCTTAAATATTTACACCCACATGCCCACATAGGCACAACTCAGGTTTCCCTGTAGCCAAATAAACTTCTGACTGCTTATTTTTTTTACCTGAAGGATGTTGTTCCACTCTCTCTTATTTTATTTCTCTGAACAGGAGATGCTTCAAGCGACAGAAATTTGTTTCCTGCCAAGGTAATTTGTTTCACAATGGAGCCTAAAAAAGATAAACAATCCAGAACAGAAAGCAAAATCCAAAATGACATTCAGCAAATGCACAGAAAACTGTAAAGGCTATATCCAATTCTGAAGTGAAAACTTATACATATGTCAAGGTCAAAAATCCATTGTATTTGTATTATCTCTATAGTTATTCTACTAGGACATGGAAAAAGCAATATTCTTGATAGACATGGAGGCTTCACTAAAATCTATACTGTAAGTCACCTTCAAGTACAGATAATGAAATAACTGTTTGATTAGAAGGAGGCAATTGCTCAAATAAAAAAGAGTCAATTCTAAATAGGCTATTCTCTCTTATAGACAAACTGCTGAAAGATTTTTTCCCAATGCAAGGGAATAATTACACTGTTCATTTGTTGATAAAGTATTTTGACAATGCACCTACTCCTGGGATATCACAATATTTTTCTACTGCAGAAAACTATTTCCAACATGGCATATGTCAGCTGTGGGAATGCTGAGAGCTGCAGTCCTAAGCTTACAAGCTGTATTATCTACTCTACAAGCACCAAAAGGATTGAACCACACCACTTATTAAATTGTATTTTTTAAATCTGCCCTTTAGCAGCCATATCAGAATATATTTATAACCCTGTCAAGATTTATGAATATTAGTTATTTCCATTCCAGCAACACCAAACACAGCAATAAGTCATAGCTACAGTACATTTCTGCAACAATTCTGTATCTATTGTTCAGAAATTTAATGAGGCTAATAGAAACTGCAAGGATGAAAGGCAACCTCCAAAGGATTCAGAAACCACAAAATGATTCCTATTCTCAATATGCCAATTTCTCATCTTACATTGAAGCACTCTCCTACCAACATATTTAATGTTAAAAGCCTCAGTCAGACATGATTCGAAAGCTAGAACCTAGAAGTGCTGTCCGTTTGGTTAAAGGGCAAGTCACTTTCAATCCAATGTTAGAACCATATCTGCAGGAAGATGCCTACCTTGGATAAAAGCATCCAATGGTCTTTTTTCACATAACTTGTTCACATTAGGGAGAGTAGAAACCTGCTGATGCTTGGCCACATTTCTTAAGATGCTTCCAGAGGGTTGCTGGACTGCCTAAAAATGGGGAGGAGAAATATTGTTACAAATATACTCCTTATTCACCAGAAATAAAATTAAAGCTGACTTACATTAAAGCTGTATTACATTACATAAAGCAGAAATGTGGATACACATTGCAATAGAGGCATCTGAACTCAAGTGTCTGAATCCAGTATTTCTAGGGATAAAATCTAGGGATTCCAATGTTTTTGGCCCAAGAAGCACATTTGCAATTTTAACTCATAAATATTCATACAAAATGACTGTTATACAAGACTGCTATACGCAAAATGATTTCTACAATGGATGACCAATCATAAGTATCCATTCACCAGAAGACAAACGCTTTGGAATTGCTTCAAAATCCATCCCCTGAATGCTCCTCCTCTCTCCCAACTTTTTCTTTTCCAGACAGGTAAGAAGACAACTAAACAGTATCCAATCTGGCTCAGTCACTGGGACCAGATGTTTTGTCTTCTGAGTTTTTGGAGTTGTGCTGGATCCCCTCCTCGGGGAACTTCTCTGTGTCTGATGATGGGCTCCAGCAGGAGTCCGAAAGCTCAGAAGACAAAACCTCTGGTCCCGGGTGACTGAGCCAGATTGGATTCTGCAACATTATCCTGGGACACGTATATTCGCCTTCATTCGTGAGACACCTAAACAAAACACCAGGTTGCCATTCACCATTTTCTACAACAGATGAAAATTGATGTTGATGCTTTGCAACATGCCTGCTTTTTGATATTCAAAGTTTAAAAAAAAAAACAAAACGCAGAAAAGACAGGGTGTATAGAAGGCGCTTTAATGACATTTTTTACACCTTACATTTTATCAGAGCATTGCTCAATATTTTCTGTCTTGAAATGATCAAAGGTACTTTCACTCATGCCAGTCTATCCCAATTAAAGTTTAGGAATGGGACTTTATTGCTTTTACATGCACAGCAGATGCTCTGCCATTGAGCTGATTACCTGGATATTAATTTTGCTTCTTTTAGGGCTTAGATGCCTACTGAAAGGTTATTATTTTAATATGTATCTGACATCTGTTAAGTTTTCTTCTTTTGATTCTAAAAAGACTCTGGCTTAATGGTGTATATGTGTGAGCTTAACCTCTTCCTGTAAGCTTTCATTCCAGGTGAACCAGTGCATTCGTGTCTTTTGGGCCCAACAATTAAAACCAAACTGAAGCAATAAAAGCAATAGATAGCTATCCCAGCAGCTTATATAGGTATCTAGTCTTGATGCAGAGAATCTATTCAGTGCAAGGTTTCACATGGCTCCTAGCTATATTCTGTTTCTGACTATCCTAATATATCTGCTGCTTCAATTCATCCCTGATGCTGTAGAGCTCAGGTAACACCAAGAAGGACATGACAGCTTTTTCCTAAATAATTTCCGAACTGCTTATTTGTTGGGCCTTCGTAACAGACAGCAATATATGGACGTTCTCATTTCAGGCTCCTACACATGCTAAACATTCCCATTATTTCTCCACTTAATGACCAAAGTCTCCTATCTCATTATCAGTCTTTTTAAAAAGGATAATTTTGCTAGATACTGTACTTGAAGAAGATCTTGTCCACTATCTGAACCCTACATTATAAGAGAGGAAGAGATCCAAAATTCAGAAGCCAGAGGAGTTTGGCAGGAGTGTCCTTGGTCAGGTTTAGTATCAAAACTACATCTGCCACAATTCACAATCTGTCTGGCTACACACTTATTAAATAAACCATCGCTTAGTGCAAAATCAAAATCGAACGAACTACATTCTGGTCCAGTGTGACACATATTCTGATATATCCCAAGGCTGATCTCTTGCTCAATATTAATAGCTTTTTTTATACACAGGTGGTCCTTATTGAGCAACGGTGATTGGGAACTCTGTTGCTAAGCAAGTTATAAAGTGCAAGTCCACATGATCACCATATGTCCTGCTGACTTCCCCATTGACTGCTTGTTGGAAGCCAGGAAAATTATCACGAGACTATGGGATGCTGTAGCCATTGTAACTGAAAACTGTTTGCCAAGCTCCTGAATGGCAATCAGGTGACTGCAGGGACATTGCAATAGCTGCAACTTTGAAGACTAGTTTAAGTCTCCTCCTTCAGCATTGTCTCTGAATAAATGGCCATTAACTGAAGATTACCTGTGTGTCACATGGGTATCATCTAGGTAAGGGCACATTTATTTATTAAATTTGTATCCCACCACAATCACAAGATTTTCAGTAGCTAACAAGTACATAATTGCCATAAATCTCATAAATTCATAAATTTTGTAAGTTCATAAATTCACTGAAGGAAAGAATTCACAAACTCCCCCAGGGTGGGTAGACCGATGAAACTATATATATATTTTTGTCAGTTTTGACAAAGGTCATGTACTTTTGACACTAGTATGCAGCCTGCATGTCATCATTATTTTCACCATGGTGGCTTTTGCAGATGCCTATGTGGATCGCTGGCTGAATTGTACTACTGAAAATAAGTCAATTCAAAAGGCCCAGATTCTACAATGCACATTTCAGAACATTGTGGATGAAGTATCAAGCAAAATTCACTTACCAACTGTTTTACAGCCTGAGAAGTCCAAATTGGCTGGGGAAGGGAAGAATTGGGATGGGCAACCCGTACAGGGGTTGGTGTCCCAGTGATAGGCAGGACAGGTTGGACAGTTGTGGTTACTGATGTAGCAGAGGTTGCTGTAGTAGTCAAGGCCAGTTTTGCCACTTCAAATGATGTCATCCCAGCTGATGGGGCTGACTTCATAGAACTAGTAGTAACAGTTGAAGGTAATGTTGGGTTACAGTCTGGCTTTGCTACCGGAAGAGAAACTGTTCCCGTCTCCTCTGTAGTGGAAGTTGGCTGCATGGCCTTCATGGTATTGATTCCTTCAATCAGTTGAGTGGAGAGGATGGACTTGTCATCTTGATAAGAGAGTGCTCCTGCAGCCAAGGCACAAGCTGGCTCAACAAGTGGAAGAGACACAGAATCATTTGTTGTAGTCGCGCAGGGTACCGAAACGGATGTCTGTGGAGAAGACATTTGAAGTGGAGAGCTGGGGACTGATGTTGCCAATTGAGAGGAGGCCAAAGTGCCGTCAGCAACTGTGGAAGAAGTTGATGATGCAGTGGGATAAGTAGAAGAAGCTGTTTGAGGGGCAGATTGCTGAAGACATTGTTCTATAAAGGTCTCTGTGTTAGGCATTAATTGCCGTAAAGCAAGTAAACTTTTCTAGGCAAGAAAGATGACAAAAAAAATAAATAAATCAGACTGAGTATTTTGCTGTTCCTACGCCATGCAATAGTATGTTAACATCTCTTTCAGAAGCACTATTTTCCAAAGTCATCGGTATAATAGCTAAATTGGAAAGGATTATAAAAGGTCTGCTTAATCTATGAAGTTTATGTTAAATGATATTCAAAAGAGCTTGCCAAGAATCAAACTCTTTGCCTTTCCATCTCTATAGTCATCCATACATTGTGACAGAAGTTTTAGGTAAACTGGTTAACATTTAACTTTTCTCAAGAAAATGTTTTGTAAGTCTGAGCATTCGTTCAGAATGAGAATGTCAACAGAACGAGCGCTGCCAGCGATCTGATGGGAAATGTTTACAGCTAGTCCTCGACTTATAACTACAACTGGAACTAAAATTTCTGTTGCTATGAAAGAAGGTTGTTAAATGAGTTATGCCTGTTTTACAACCTTCTTGCCACGGTTGTTAAGCGAATTGTTATGCAAATCATGTGGTTGTTAAATAAGTCCCCCATTGACCTTCCTGTCAGAAGCTGGCTGTGAAGGTCTCATATAGTGATCAGAGGAGCCCAGGTTGCTGCAACTATGGTGAATACACAGCATTTGCTAAGTGACTGAATTTTGATGTGACTGTGGAGATGCTGCTATGGTTGTAAGAGTAAGGACTGGTCCTAATTTACTTATTTTAATGCCACTGTAACTTCGAATGGTTGGAAGTCACAGTCTACCTGTACTTGTATCCAACATGCCCCGTTCAATCCTTGCTAAAGATGGAAAGAAGCTATAATTTCTGTCAGTAAACTAGAATTTGTGAAATACACAGCCGGAGTGCATCTTCTTTTTCATAGCTTTGTTTTGTATCCTTTCAGTTTGACAAAGCAATGCCCACATTTTCCAGCATTTCTGGTAATATTAGTCCACACCCATATTATAGGTTCAGCAAGAGAGTTATTTTTATAATAACCGTATTTGCAATAGGAGTATTATTCTTGCACAATCATTTTGAGACTACCTCAATCAATGCACAGTGGTCTTCAACTCAGCTTCATTTCAAGCTAATTTTGGACATGTCCAAGTTACAGTAGCTACATGAACTCTTGGAACTTCAGGACTGTATTCCTTTGCCACAGAATCCATATATCAATACTACCTAATATTAATGAGTTGTAACCCACTTTTTACTATAGAGTATACTACTAAAGTAATTTGAAATAATATAAATTGTCAGCATTTTTGAAAAAAGCTTTGCAAACTTTAAGTTGCACGTACATATTACAAATTCAGAGTAGCATTTGGCTATTGTTTTCTCAAGCCAAATATTCTTTGCATCTCTCATACATAAGAGCAACTGGAGGATAATTGTTTTAGATAAATAGAGGAGTCTGGGAAAATCACTTGTTGAGTTGAAGTCAATTACATAAGCTTCAATAGAGACTAAGGATTGTTGTCATCTGTGCAGGAAGGTGGAAATGTGATATTTTTCTTAGAGATAATTACTCAAGAGAGATTAATATCAGTTTTAAAATATATATTTGACAGGGAAGTGTATGGTGTCAAAAACGGGCTAAACATTAAGCAGCCCTACATTTAATAACTAGGCATAAGGTTTTGGCTACACATCATACCTTATCTCCAGATTCATGGATAGAGCCATTCATGCTGAAATGCACTCATCTGAAAGGAATATAACTGAAAGGAAGTTGTTTTATAAAGTGATCTGTCTTTACCTGGCTTCCTTGCAACACCTAAATGAATAGTGTGTGTGTCTCTTTGAGTCATTCAGTGATAATTTGGCTTTGGATTAGATCAGTGTTTCACAAACTTGGCCACTTTTAGGATGTGTGGACTTCAACTCCCAGAATTCCCCATCCCTGTTCTCTTAACCCAGCCATAATGTAATGGAGCTGTTATGAAAACACCAAGGAGGGCAGGGAGGAATTTCATTAGCAAGGGCTTTCAAAATGTCTTGTCAACAAAAATGCTTTCAGATGCCCCAACTCCAAATGACATTTTCATCATCATAGTACCCAATACCTGAAACAAGAATATTCATTAAGACGTACCTTGAGAAAGGGAACAAGATTTGGCTGGGGAGAAGACTTTAGTTCCACATATAGTTCTTTGGTAAATTCTTCTGGCTCAATTTTAGCTTCCTAGGCAAGGAAAAAAAATTGTAACACAAATGTAAACTGTAGCTCCGCTAGACATGCTTACAAGTAGGAAACCTCAATTCCCTTGCATTCCAGTACTAATTAATCCCATAATGTGCACATTTTCAACACACCTTTTCAATAGAACACCTTTTTTATATTGAAGGTCTATTCCTTCAAAACAATTTTCACTTATTAACAATGAACAACGTTATATAAAGAAGAAAATTTTCCTGACTAGTTTCAAGAAACGGGAAAAATTAAAGAAGCTGTTTATAAAACATGTTTATAAGGAAAGCACTTTGAAAAGGAAATTTCTTCTATAAAGAAATTTCTAGACTGTTACTTGGCTAAACACAAATATACCAGATATGGGTAACCTGGTATTCTGCAGAGATTTTCAATGTTACCCTCCATTCGGTCCAGTGTGCCTAAGGGTGCAGAAGTATGGGTGCTGTAGTGTCAATCATAGCAAAAACAGCTGATTGCCTACTGTAATCATGCAGTGCACTTACTATGAATTTGAAATGTAAGAATTACAGGCAGTCCTCACTTAGTGACTATTAAAAATCACTACAGACCCAATAAAAGCTATTTATAAAAAAAGCTACTTTGGTTTTAGAGTTCCAACAGCTGCACAAAGCTCAGCAGTCACATGGCCACATTTTGGCACTTGGCAACCAGCTCACTTTTACAGCCAGTTGGTAAGGTGACCATGATTTACTATGTTTTTGTTGGTTTCCAGCCTTTTTAGCCAGTTTCTGGCAAAAAAAACACCCATAGGAATATATTGATTTGCTTAATGACCATGGCATTCATTTAATGAAGCTACAAAGTGATAAAATTGGGTCTGGTCATGTGGGTGCCTTGACTTATGATCATGATGGCTTATGATGGAAATTCTGGGTGCCATTATGGTCATAAATCAAGGACCATCTATATAGCTTTGCATCCTTGCATTCATTTGCATGATATTCGTTCCTTTTTCTTCTCCCTCCCATATTTAAAATCATACCATGAATTATAGCAAGCTGGGTGACTTTGGGTCAATTGCTCTCAATTCACCCCATAGGTTATTGTTGTGTGGAAAATATGATGAGGAAGGAATATTAGGTATGTTTGCAATTTTGAATTTATAAAAATAATAAAGGTTATTTTTATTATTTTTATTATTTATAAAAATAATATGTAAAAAAAATTATAACAGAGAGGACCAGAACTAAAAGTCAGAATTTAATCTGGCTCACTATAATCAAATAAAATGTGAAGTGTTATTTCACACGGTGACTCCATTCTGGAATCACCTTACAAAATGACACAAAATTATAGCAGAGTCAGGCTTTAAGCTGTTATGATACTCCAAGCTTATTGAACATACTTGCAAGTGTAAGAACGAGTTTTCATATTTAGGGTAAATTCTTCTCTTATCATGCAGCAAGTCTAATGTTGGACATAGAAAAAACACGGATTCCTTCCCCCCTCCCCCAGAAAGTAACACTGCTAAGTTTTAATATGATTTGACTTCCCCAAGCAGAAGTAAAAGTAAACCACAGAAATGGCACCCGAAGGCAATTAGTGTATAAATGCAAAGCCACCCCTTCTAATAATCTGAGGTTGTTAGAGTTATTTATAAAATTAGGTCCCCTATAAATGTTCACAAAAATAAATACGAATATACTTGTGTAAGCTTTCACAGCTGGTACCAGTTGAGAAGTATTGAGCTGCAAGGTTAGTGACCAGTTACTCTTTCTTTGAGCAGTGACTCAACACTGCCCAAATAAACAGAGATTTTTCTGTGATGAAATGACAACATATGGCACCATTATATGAATGATACAAATGATGCAAGGACGTAATTGATTTCATTTGTGCGAATAAACACAACATTATTGTAATGTCTTTGTGGCTTCTCCTGGAGGCCATGAAGATGCCAACAGGGCTACATTATATAGCTCTGCTTGATACTGCACATGTAAGGACTAGAAAAGGGGTGTCAAACTCTCAGTGTCACGTCGTCACGTGACATATTGTGACTTTTTTTCCCCTTCGCTAAAGCAGGGGTGGGGGTGGCCAGTGCAGGACGCATCCGGCCCACAGGCTGCGAGATTGACACCCCTGACTAGAAGAAGTCCCACCGGAAACACTCCTAGGCAAAGACATTCAGAATCAAGACAAGAGTACTTGCAGATGAGCTTTTACCAACAGACTTTGAACCAGATGCTTCACATTCTGCCCCATCTGAGGTGCTTGAGGTCCACTGGAGGCCAGCTTTATTAGTGTTGCAAGGAAGTTTTTGCACTTTTTCACATTTTCCAGCATTTCCTGACAAGAAAACAGACTTAAGACTTAGATCAAACGGTTAGGAAATTACCACTTCTGCAGTGCTAGCCTATTTTGTACTTACTGTATAACTGAAAGGCTGGGTGACTTTGGGGTCATCTGTATCAGCAACTGGTTTTGAAGTGAAAGCCAACATGGGAGAGTCAGAAACAGGAGGCTTTGCTGATGATCCAGCAACCAATGACTTTGTGGTCGAGCCTATAATATTTGGTGATGTTACACACTGAAAGACATTCAACAGATAAGTTACTTGCAGCATCCCTGGCAGAACCAACACATTCTCTACATAACAAAGCTTATTTCCATGAGAATGAATTTTCCTTCGACTGATGTATGACCTCTTAAAGAACTGTATATTAAATTAGGTGTTCAAAAGAGGGTTTACAGGTAGTCTTCAACTTAACAATAGTTCATTTAGTGATGGTTCAAACTTACAATGTGACTTATGACTGTTCTTCACACTTATGACCGTTCCTCATGGTCACATAAATCAAAATTCAGATGCTTGGCAAATGACTCATATTTATGACAGTTGCAGTCACTTGGGCTTTTGTGACCTTCTAAGAAACAAAGTCAATGGGAAGTCAGATTCACTTAACAACCATGTTACTAACTTAACTGCAATGATTCACTTAACAACTGTGGCAAGAAAGGTGGTAAAATGGACAGCGGTGTGTTTCACATTTTGTTACTACCGGTTCGCCATGTGCATGCTCGTTTCACACACGCACCTTCCGCACATGCGCCTGGCCTCAAAACTGTGCCTAAATAGGACAGCATAGAGCTGGGGTGGGTGGGCAGGCCTACCCACAATCTCCGCTACTGATTCACCCGAACTGGTACAAACCAGCTGAATACCACCTCTAAAAATGGGGCAAAAATTGTTAACAACTGTCTTGTTTAGCAACAGAAGTTTTGGGCTCGACCGTTGAGGACTATCTGTACTTTGCAAGAATAACCAAACTTTGTTATCACCCTGGAAAAGATTCAGAAGACTCCTTCTTACTGCATTTAGCAATGATCACAACCACACTAATTCTGACACACATTAATTAAAACTAAATTGAGGATGCTAGATTGATTTTTAAATCAAGTCTTTTTACAGGACTAATTTATGTTATTTACATAATAATATTACATATGTAATATTGTTTTTTTATTTTATTAGATGATATTTTGTTTTCAAGGTTTTTGGATGAGTTCTAAAAGAAAAGGAAGAGAAAGACTAGTGTCAGGTTTTCTTTTCTACATCCAAGTTTCTCTGCCCTATCTTTTTTTCCTTTGGGTAACTCCTTTTCCAGAATTTCGTACAGATGCATACATGGCATGCAAAGATATGATCCAGTTAAGGGAAGTACAATTACCTAAGCATAGCCCCAGGGTTAAACTGAATTTAACTAGATAATTTTTTCTACGATCTGTACCCCATGCTTTATCATATCTTTATTTGTCTAAATCAGAACACTGTGCATTATTCAAGCCCAAAGAGAGAAATAATTGATGATTAATGTCTCACATCTTGGCCTTTTTATGTAAGAGACAGAAGGCAGGATTGGTTGCCAAATGACTCCATACAGAGTCTTGGTCTTTTCTCAACTTTTACACCTTATGGACACAATCATATCACCACAGGGTAAATCGAACTAACAAAAGAAAAGTTTTGCTTTTCTTTTTCAATTCACAAAATTACTAACAGTCAGCAGGGTGGCCACTGCAAAGGCACCTAGGATACTGGTTCACACTGAAGGCCATTAAAAAACCATAGCTAGCCATGACATAGTCGCTGATTGTGCTATTGATTTGCTCCCTCCTTTCCCAAATTGTATCCCCTTATTTGATTCAATGCTTGCATAGCATCCGTATCATGCTAAATGCTTATTTTATTATTCGAGGAGGAGGTTGGCTAGCAGCGGGGGTAGATTTTGACCGGTTTGGACTGGATCGTGCATACCGGTAGCGGCAATTTGAAGTGGTTTGCTGAACCGGTAAAAACCACCCCTGGTTGGCCCCGCCCACCCGCCTGCTCACTGCTCGCCCCTTCCGCTCTATGTGTATGCCCGAGAAGGAGGAGAAGACTTGGCCGAACTTTTCTTTCTCCCTTTGCAGTGAAGGGAAGGGAAGGGAGCTTGTTGGGAAGGGAGCTGCAGCAGCTTGCCTCCCTTTAAGGGTTGCAGGCGTCCCGATATAGTCAGCTGGTGCCATCGCTGACTATTGGGGGCGAGACATTGGTCCCCACGGAGAGGGCACGTAACTTGGGTGTCCTCCTGGATGCACGGCTGTCTTTAGAAGAGCATATGACGGCCGTGGCCAGGGGGGCTTTCTATCGGGTTCGCCTGCTACGCCAGTTGCGCCCCTTTCTGGATCGGGACTCCTTATGCACGGTCACTCATGCCCTCGTCACTTCCCGCCTGGACTACTGCAATGCTCTCTACATGGGGCTCCCCTTGAGGAGCACTCAGAGGCTCCAACTGGTGCAGAATGCAGCCGCGCGGGTACTTATGGGGGCGACATGGCGCTCCCACGTGACACCTCTCCTGCGCGAGCTTCATTGGCTTCCAGTGGTCTTCCGGGTGCACTTCAAGGTATTGGTTCTCATCTTCAAAGCGCTCCATGGCTTAGGGCCCGGTTATTTACGAGACCACCTTCTGCCACCGATAACCTCCCATCGGCCAATACGTTCCCACAGAGAGGGCCTCCTCAGGGTGCCGTCGGCCAGGCAATGTCGGCTGGTGACCCCCCAGGGAAGAGCCTTCTCTGTGGGGACACCTGCCCTCTGGAATGAGCTACCACCAGGGATACGACTGATCCTGGACCTCCATACCTTCCGCCGGGCTCTGAAGACTTTTTTATTTCAGCAAGCCGGGCTGGGTTAAAAATCTTTTAATTTCTGAATTTTATGGGTAAGGGGTTTTAAATTGGGGGAAGCCAATATAAATTTAATTTTGTTTTTATAGTATTTTAATGTTTATATTGTATGTTTTTTAATTTTGGCTGTTCACCGCCCCGAGTCCTTCGGGAGAGGGGGCGGTATAAAAATTTAATAAATAAATAAATAAATAAGTTACTTTGACCCCCGGGAGGGAGGGAGGGGGACCATAAAGGGACAGACTGTAGCGGCTGCCTTCTGAGCAGCTGCGCTGTGAATTGAGGGAGAAAAGTTTGGCTTCTCTCTGCAGCAGCATTCAACGTGGCTGCTTCTCTCCTCCTTCTTGGGCTCCACATAAAGGAAACTTGAGAAGAAGGCGAAGCAGCCAAGATGCTGCAGCAGAGAATCAGAACATTGAGGATGAAGGTACAGGAGGCCAAGCATAAGCCTGCAGCAGCATTCAACGTGGCTGCTTCTCTCCTCCTTCTTGGGCTCACACACACAGAGTAAACATGAGAAGAAGACGAGAAGCAGCCAGGTTGAATGCTAGAAGACTTGGCCGAACTTTTCTGTCAGTTCTGTGGGCATGGCTTGATGGGGTGGTACTGCCCCACTTTGCCGTGACATCAAGTTGGCCACACCCAGTCACATGACACCCATCAAGCCACGCCCACAGAACCGATAGGGAAAAAATTTGAATGTCACCCCTGGCTAGCAGTCTGATGCAGTGGTGAAATGTAAAATTTGTTACTACCGGTTCTGTGGCGTGGCTTGGTGAGGGGGTAATGTGACTGGGTGGGTGTTGCCAACTTTTTTTTTTAACTTTTAAAAGCATTTTTTTCTACCACCTCTTCAGCAGAAGAGGTTGTAAAAAAATGCTTTTAAAAGGCTCTGATGATCCCAGTTGAGCCGTGCGATCATCAGAGGCTTTTTTTTTTTTACTTTTAAAAGCATTTTTTCGGCCGGGGGTGGGGGGACAGGGATTTTTGCTACTGGTTCTCCGAACCACCCGCCACCATTGCTACCGGATCGGGTGATCCGGTCCGAACCGGGAACATTTCATCCCTGGTTTGATGGCTTGTAAAAGGACTCCAGACCGAAGAAAGCAAGGGCCTTCTTATTTCTGGCTTATCCAATTCTTACAGCAATCAAGAAGGAGCCAGTTTCGTTTTGCTCAAATCAAAGACAAATATAAAGATAGGACACCTAAAGCCATGGCTACTACAAGCACATGTATATCTATTAAAAAATGTTACAAACTTCATTAGCTCTGAGAAGCAGTGAATCTGTAATACCTGATGAGGTTGATCATTTTATTGCTGCACATGTCACTAGAAACTTAGAATTGCTATTTCCTATAGACAAGCGTTCAGCAATATTGATCAGAAATAATTTATATAGGCTGTTTGCCATGGAGAAAGACATGTTTGGCATGCAGGTCTAAAATTAATCTGGAATTGCATATTTTAAAACCACAGTTTATTCTTTAGATTTGTAAACCACTGTAATAAAAATGTTAGCTAGAAAACTAAAAAACAGAAAACAGAATGCAAATCATACCTGAATTACAGCAGGCTTCTTAACAGTGGAAGTAATAGAATGAGTTGCCCAAGACAGCGTTTTAACAGGAGCCGTTAGTACTTTAAATACCTGAGTTCCAGAACTCTTTCAATAAAATAAAGAAACAGATGTAATGGGAAAAAAGAAATCACTTTCCAGCTAGTAGTCAATGAAAGTTCCTTACTAACTGGAAATAAATTATCTGTTTTGGCATACAAATGATAGATTCCTCCTATACATACTTTTTTCTATTTTTGAGTAAGTTGTAAACCTCTTTGACTGTTATTACAAATGTTAAAGCACTCGGGGTAATATAAAAGGTTAGAGCAGAGTTAAATTGCGTTTATGACTGATTATTCAAATTACACATTCATGCTGCCTTATATGCAAGAAAATATTTTTAAAACTGCAAATATTTATCATGTGAAAACAGCAACAGTGGCAGTAACTGTGAAAAAAATGCTTCTGTTGCACTTTCTTACTTATAGACAAATTGCACTAGCAAAAGCAAAAGAAATCCTACATCAGATTAATTCTAAGGGCCTTGTAATTCCATATCCACAAAGTTGCATTATAACAGCAAAAAAGCAATTTGGGAGGAAGTGGGGGGGGACGGGACATATTTTGAAAGTATTCTAGGAGCACTGTTTCAAATTGGCCGCTATGGAGGATGTAGGCAGTCACAACACACCAATTTACCACAGTTCGAGCTGGGAAAATTGATTCCCATCATTTGTTCTAACACACTGGTACTCTATGCCACCACTGATTAATCATATTTGGAGCTGTAGGTCAATTTTCAAATAAAGTATTTGAACAGTTATCATCTTTATTCTCTAAGGATATTTATAGGTCCAGTATGAGGATCTAAAACATTCCCGTAAAGGTCAATAATGACAAAAACTGATAGACATTTTTCTTATTTTAAAGGAATACACATAAAATTAGAATAGGAAGACTGGTGGACACTGTTAGGAGTTATATTGACAAAACCTAAACTCATACTATCTAATTCTTACAGGCACCAAGAACAGCAAGAACATTCAAAGAATTTCTGGTATGGGATTACCTGTACAGGCTGAATTTTGATGGTAGGTGCAGTTGGAGGTATTGAGCATCTTACACTGGTATTATTTGAGGTCTGACTCTGAGCTTGTAATAATGCTTGTTGAGATATCAACATTAATTGACCGGTATTACTTCTGACCAGAATCATTCCTGCAAGAGAAAACAATGTCAGATCTCCCACTATTCATCCTTATCAAATAACAAATATATTATTTTGAGCTTAGGGAAATGTAAACAAAGTGAAAGAAATACCATCCTTTATTGTATTTAGGCCAGAAGTTACGTTAAGATAGGAAATACTCCAATATTTTATTACTTCTGTGCAATAGTACAGCATATTTCTCTAGGAGTCTTTTAAAATTATAGATGGCTACACTTTTTCCAGATTCGCAGCTAGTTACAATAAATGTGCCTAATATTTTCACTTCACAAAAAAACCATCAAGCATATTTAAGCAACAAGCAAATTCAGAATTGATTTGCTCACAGTTCTCCAAGTTAGAAAAGTCCCAAGAGCCTTATAGTTTAAGTTTGATCAAGCTTGTCAACTTGGGTTATTTCTAATTTTAATGCAAAATAAAGATGGTTCACATATGAATGTTGGCCTTTATTGACACTAGAAGAACAGATTTAAAAATGTAGTCTTTGCTGTACTCAAAACACACAGTTACCTTTACATTAATTTACATTAACAGTTTACTGAATAATATAGATCAGGGTCTCCAACGTTGGCAACTTTAAGACTTGTGGACTTGAACTCCCAGTAAAGCTGGCTGAGGAAATCTTAAGAGTTGAAGTCCACAGGTCTTAAAGTTGCCAGCATTGGAGACCCCTGGGATATTCCAATGGAGGGAGGATGGTGGAAATGAAATCTAATTTCTCCATATCAAGTCTAATTTCACATACTATATACTAAGTGGGGGGAAAAACAGTGCTATTTTAAGAGTATGGAATATAGATAAACCCAGGTTATGCTCAAAAATACCATAATGGTTTGAGCACAATTAAGCATTTTATAAAAAAAGAAAAAATGGGAAAAGACCAATGGTTAACATATCAGAAGTTGTTAGGACAAGAAGACGGAGAACTGAAGAGGAAATCAAACGAACAACTGACTGCAAGATTTAATTTTCAATGGTTTTCATGTAAAATAATTAAGAGACGTTTAAAATATAAGTAAAAAGGAGATTGAACATAAAACAGAAATTGAAATTGTATTATCGGTATGTACAAATGAATAAACATGTTATTGCTAAAATGTATAAACATTTGCAGAGATTTGAAATAGAATAAGTGATGGGACTCATGATAAAATGGGTTATAATTTTTGGTTGTAACATACAAATAGGAGAGAATGTGGATAAAAACACTGAAATTCACATTGCATTACAATTTAAGAAGGAACTTTTATGAAATGATATGGTTGCACATGATTAGACATTATCAAAGATACATAAAAATACTTCTAATCAGTACTGAAAATGAGTTAGGGTGGGCTTGCGAAAAAGCAAAATAATATTGTAATATTCAAATATATACAATTATACAAAGAATTTTAAAGAACAATATTGATACCATAACTATTCCTATTGGGATTTATGAATAGCCAATTAGAGTAAACGTACTGAAGACCAAGATTGCATATGGTAACTGCAGCAGAACTATTATAAGCACAAAGGTGGAAAAATACTGAAATATCCATAACGGAGCAATAGATCATGAAGATGGCAGAATATGCAGTAACGGTGAAAATGACCTGTTGGATCAGTGATAGGAATTACTTTTTTAAAAGACTGGAAACCTCTTCTGGGCTTTATGTTGAAAATGGAAAAACATGCATCTGATGATTTACAGATTTGCTAATTAAAATAAGTTGAGTATGGGAAAAAGAAAAGCAAGTTGTAACTTTAAAGAGGGAGGACAGATAATGAATTAGTTTGTAACTGCTTTAAAGAAGGCTGAAAATCGCTTCTTAATACCTATCTCTTTTCTTCTACCTGCACTCTCTGTTCTACTTCTTTTATCTTTTCTGTCTTTTTTCTTTCACTACATATAGTTTCATGTTTATTTTATACTTATGTGAAAATGTTTAATATAAACTATTAACAAGAACCCTGAACAAAAGAATCCAAACACTATTGCCTACTAAGGAAATTGTTCAAATGCTTTGGTTATAATAAACTTGAAAACAAGCTCTACTCTGCAAATGTGGTATAGTGAATGTTATACCAGAGTTGTAATTCTGTATTAAATGTTATAAAGATCTTCATACGGTATTATATAAGGTAACGTTTTTCCTACTTGTCTTCTACTGACAAAGGAATACAAACTTTATGCAAGGTTGAGAAATAACTTTTAATATTGTGTTATCAAATTGTAGATTATAGAACACTGCCACCTACTGGTACAAATAAAATATAACATTCAAGTATTTCAAGAGTTTGTTAAATCTATCCCACTATATCACTGGAAAAAATTTTGTTTGGTTTACAAATACATACATATATAATTATAGCTACTATTTAGTATTTGTATTATTTTTACAAGATATGTTTTCTTTAAGAAAAATGGGGGTGGTCGGGCAGAAAAATAGATTAGAACAGGCTTTAGGGATTTTAGAGCTCCATATACAAGGTAGTCCTTCTTTAATGATCACTTGTTCAGCAACAGTGACCGTTCAAAGATGCCACTGAACAAGATTTATGTCTGAGAGTTGTAGTGGCGGCCACTGCAACTTTCCCACAGTCATGTGATCACAATTTGGATGTTTGCTAACCAGCTCATAATTGTGACAGCTGCAGTGTCTCACAGTCCCAGGATCACCATTTGTGTCTTTCACTACTGACTTCCAACAAGTTAAGTCACTGGGGAAGCCTGCAGGAAGATGCAAAATGGGACTCACATGACATCATGCCTAATAACCATTTGCTTAATAATTTGCTCCTGTTCTTTGGAACATCTTCTCCTAAGGAGTGAAGTTGGCTCCCACCCTCCTGACTTTCCAAAGGGCTTGAAGACCTGGCTCTACCAATTGGCCTGGGGCTCCAAAGGTCATACTGGAGGTGGTTGACTGGTTAATAACAGATCCCACCTCACCCCTGCTCAGCCTACTCCGTCCTCCCCATCTTTTAACTTTATTTGCATTTTCATAGTGCTTACTTTCTTGTATACATATTGTTGCATTATGTTTTATTCTTTTTAACATTGTAAGCTACGCAGTCACCTTGTGGTTGAGATGGGCAGTAAATGACTTGTTGTTGTAAGTTGGTCCAATCAAATGACATTACATTTTATGACCAAATCGTTTAATAATGGAGTTACCAATCCCAATAACTGCTATTAAGCACTGACTACCTGTAGCTTTCCATGGTCTTGCTCTTCCCTCAAATTTTGGGTCAGAGTGAGGGACAGACTCTTTGTATGGCATTTGGACTATTATATGGTTGCTTTCCACCAAATGTTTTTCTTCTGAGGCAGAGCTGTCAAACTTGAGTCTCGCGGGCCGGATGCGTCACACACTGGCCTCGCCCAGTTTAGCGAAGGGGAAAAAAGTCACGATGCGTCATGCGATGATGCTGTGACAACACAAGTTTGACACCCCTGTTTAAAGGATGCATAATTTGTTTTTATTGTTATATTTTATAAGCTGTAGGAGATGACTAGGCTGAGCCTGAGGAAGGAGTGAAATGCGTCATCAGTCATGAGTCCTTTCGCACTCACAAGAGCTCTAAGTCCAGCCCACCTAGAATTCCTGTATATTCTTAACTTCCGCTAATTTCTCTTGACTGTTAGAAGTTCAGATTCTTGTAGAAAGCTTAAGCTTACAATAAATCTTTATACATATTTGAACTACCCGAATCTTCTGATTTCCCTGGTGCTGACATGCCCAAAGTCCCAAAGGTGCTTTTTCAAAAGCCAACTGGACTTTCTTGTTTTTCTTTGAATACATTTTTCTTCTCATCCAAGAAGCTTTTTCAGCTCTGACTAGATGGTGGGAATGGAAAGATTTATATTATTTGCAGATAGCTGGTCATTTGCATTCTTTTAGAGAGTTGTTGAGGCCACTTGGAGGTTTATGTGTGTCCTCAAGAAAACTGAGTAACGTGGTATATACAGACTCCTTCCATTCCTCACCATCCAGTCAGAGCTGAAGAATCTTCTTGGATGAGAAGTAAAACGTCTTCAAAGAAAAACAAGAAAGTCTGGTTGCCTCTTGAAAAAGGACCTTTAGGACAACGATGACCTGAATGACTGAGAATCTCCATAGGCATGCCCAAAGCCATGACAGATTTAGGTAGCCTATAGATTTTATAAGTAAATATAGTTATATCAACACTACTGCTCCTGAGATTGAGGACAAGGTGCCTAGTGGACTGGTTTTACTGACTGATTAGGGAAAGTGAGAAACGAATATATATGCTTGTAAGTATAATATATCAAATCACAAAATAAGCTTCTGGTAAAAAAATGCATTAGGAAAAGCGCATTAAAATGCATGTCCTAGGAACAATGTGCTGATTTTTTAATGGATTGCTTTAAAACAAAATGGACATCAGATGGAATAAATAAATGGAATAAAGTGACAGATGAAAAATGACCATGTATAAATCAAATTCAACAGACTTGGAACACTTGTTATTTACGCTTCCTTTCATAGCTGCAAAGATATATTGTTGAAGTGCTAGACTTGAATCAAGAGATCCAAGTTTAAATTCTCACATGATCCCTGGGAGACTTTGAGCCATTCACTCTCTCATTCTAACTTAATTCATTAGTTGATTAATATAAACTGTATGCAGCCCTCAACTACCACTATACACTATTTGGAAGTGCACCATATTCCCTTCTTTGGTTATCAAACCTGGAAATAAAGATTGAACCAAGATGGTAGAAAGAATATGCACACTGAGAAACAATGAAGTTAAAAGTATTATTTCTGTTAAAAAATATGTCTAAGTGTTATGTCCTCGCGCGTACAACGATGCCCAAGCATGTCGGCTGCAGATCGATACTGATTGGCTAAGACGTGAGCAGCCAAAAACAGCGGAAAATGCAGCCCTCCTATTGGTTCTTCTGTCTGACAACTCCTCTATTTAAGCAGCTGTCAGACGGCAAGGGCGTGTTAGTGCTGCAGCCGCGTGTGAGTTGCCTTTTTCCGTTAGCAATAAAAGTTGTTGTTGTTTACCCCAGCCTAGCCTCAGTCTCTACCTGCTTGGTTCTTCATACAGAGCACCAAGGCTGTTCCACCTGTGAAAATAGTACAGTGAAAGGAAAATTTGTGTTACTTAAGTATTTCTGCAGCAGTGTGTGCCTCAATAATGGAAAGAACACTAGTAAGGTAAAAATCCAAATTGCACATATCAGAGACAGAAGAATATGGAATTGAACAGAGGAAGTGATGAAACCTTGACAGTATCAGTCTAACCAGTAACAGGTTTATTTCACAAAAAGATCCAAAATAAGTATTTTAGACAAGGAACAGTTCCTCAGTTATCTCCTGTGTGATCAGTGTTTACAGGTGAGAAAATTGGCAACCGAAATACATCATCCTATCCTCTGTTGATACTGCTTAAACAGCACAAGCAGAATTACAGTAATAACCAATTTCTCAAAATGGTGTGTCCCAAAAAAACACTGAACTAAAATGGGAGTTCTTTAGCCAAGGAGACACTGTGCTTCCTTATTATGATTGAGTGTAATTTTCCAGAGATCAATTCCGATAAATGCTATCTCCCTTCTTGTGATTCCAACTGTTTTTATTTGGAAGAGTTTTACCAAAAACTACTTGTGCTGGTGCTAATCTGCAGGTTGCTGGGCTGATCACATTGTCATTAACGATCCATAACTCCCACTTAACTTTCTATTCACCTTGGTTACATTTACACTCTGCTTTCATTTCTTATTACTGAGCAACTCCACATAGGAAAAAATATGGTATGCCTGACATGCTTGTCTTCTACCTGCTTCATCTTCCTTCAGGTTGAGAGTAAAGGATAGCTTTGATAGAGACAGGACCATTACCAAAGCAACAGAGAAGCATACCTTAAGCCCATACTTTAAAAGATTTACAAAAAAAAGTTAAATTTTCACTTAATTCACATGAAAATAAAAGAGGAAGGAGCGGAAAGACAATCAAACATAAAAGATTCTACTACAGCCATTCTAATAAAAGTTTTAGATCTATACAGCATTGGTTTCTTGATCTATTTGTACAACTGACATTCAAATTCTGCATTTGAGTTGGCTAAAACAATGCTATGCAAGGATAACTAACAGCAAGATGGATGAAATTGATTTCAATCGTTTTGGAAGAACTGAAGGGCCAGGATGAACAGAGATTATCCTGGGGAAAGTCTATCTGTATGATCACTACAAACCTTATCACACATAATCACTCAATCAAGACCAGTGCTTAGACAATCCAAAATATTTGGATAAACAGATTTTACCAATATAGAATATGTGTTCTGTACTCCCATATATTCAATCCAAAATATGGATCATGTATGTAGATGACAGCTGTAGCATAATAAAAAAAGAACTAGAGATTAGAGAACACACAAAACCATCAATGACATCTTCAAAGAATCAAATTCACAAGGGAAGAAGAAAAAAACAAGACACTACCCTTCCTAGATATCCTTACTAGCAGAAGCCATGATCGCAAGATAGAAACACAAGTCTACCAAAAAATTGCATCAGCGTAACACACAAACCAACTAAAGTACTCCAGAACATCCTAAGTAAGCCGAAAGACCAGCAGCTCCAGTAGAAAAAACATGTCATCTACAATATGCAGTGAAAGACTATAACAGCCATTATGTAGGACAAACAGGCAGAAAACTAGCAGAGCGCATCCATAAACACCAACTAGCAAGTCAGAAGACAAGATAAAAATTATTTAATTTCACAACACATAGACAGGCTTAACCATAGTTTCAACTGGGAGACTGTAAAGTCTAAAATAGAGAATACCAGGAAGTCTGGCACTCTGACAAATCAGCCGTCAATAGGTACATAGACATAAACATCTACAACCGTTCAAGAGAGACAATGTACAAGCCAAAGAGGGTACAAAAAGACAAAAAGAACTGCTAAATAAGCTAGATAAACACCCCAGCCAAAAAACTACCAAGGCTGCTTCCAGCAATGTTGACATGGCAAGCCTTAGAATATAAATTGAGAGCAAACCGCACTCCCTACTAGCATTGATGATGTTACCTGGTTTGGGTAATGAAATGTCTGCAATAAAACAACCAAACTTGGAAAGCATCAAAGATATCTCAAAACAGATTTTAATTTTCAAATATAAAATACTGTTATAACATAGCTATATCAACTTATTGCGCCAGAACCTACTAATCAGGATATAAAGGATTTTTATTTGGAAATTGTTAATTTTTATATTTATTACATAGTATTTCATATTATGAAATATTACATAATATTTCAATTTAACAACTGAGATATTTTTATGACAATAAACCAAAAGATCAATTTAGACTCCTCTACCAACAAAAGACCAGTATACCAAACAATTACATTTATCTCACATAAACTACAACAAATTATAGATGGGCCTTAAAATCATGGGTGAATTTATTTGATGATCAGGAAATAACAGTTAAAATAAAGTTTGGAGAAACTGAAAGTTCAGAACTGAGACAGGATGGCATCAAAGTAAGACTGTATACTCATGTAACACCAAATTTATTTTGAGAAATGCTGGAATAGAACAGATAGAAATTGGCATTAAAAATCGTAGGAGAAACTTCAACAATTTCAGATATCCTGATATTGCTACTGATTTGGCTAGAAGTGAAAAATGTTACTGAAAGTGAAAAAAGAGAACATGACAGCAATAAATTTAAAGCCTTGATTGTGTTAACAGGTAATACCAACTGAATGCAAAGAGACAGAGAAGAAATTAACATAGGAATAAACTATTTTTCTTAGTTCACAGTTATGTTATATACAGACCTGCCCCTATGGCTTTATATGGTTGTAAAGCTGGACTTTCAAAAAGGGGGGAAGCCTTTGAATTGCACTGCTGAAAAAATGGTTGACATAGAGCAAGAGTAAATCATACAAAACTAGATGAAGTAAAACCAGGTTGCACAATGGAAAGTAATAATGAATCTAACATCTGCTTATTCTGAATAGCTTAATACAAGGAAAGACCCTGATGTTTGGGGGAAAATGAGTAGCAATAAAAAAGAAGGCAACAGAAGGCATACCTGAAAAGTTACTTATTGCCTCATAACTTTGGTTTTGTACATGTTTTACTTGCAAATATTTGGAATGCTTGATAAACATATACAGTAAATTTGTGTCTATTTCAGAAACTTGTGCCCTAAAATGTATAAATCTTATTCTAGATTTAAGAATTTAACTGCTAATTTTTTCTTGTAATTTTACATGAAACATTTCTAAACCTGGAAAATGAGGGAAAGAGGCAACAGTGCTATTTAGTAGTATACTGTCTTTCTCAACTGTCTAAAACTCTTAAATCCACACCTGGACCTTCCTATTGTTTGGACTTTTAGGAATGAAAAACCATGGTTAGATTGTTTTGACATGCACTGAGAACCGTGGCCCTTATTCCCAATATTTCAGTATATCACACACATTTCAAAGGTGACCACTGATCAAACAGTAGATAGATATGATGTGGATATTTTTTTTTTTTTGCACTGAATAGGTATACAACATTTAGTACTACAATTAGAAAATGTTGAGAACTCAGTAAAACTGAGTTGTCCTAAATTTGCGGTATTTTTGAAGATGTACGAAAAGAAAGTCTATCCCCAAGCACAATTTAGAGAATTTGGATAAAAACTGGGCGAGTAATTTAATGCTGTTCAGAAGACTCCTTTGAATCATACATACTGAGGAATGTTAAGTATCTGGATGCTTTCTTCTCTCTCCTCTCATCTCAAAAGCCCTAACATTCTTCAAGAAATGGTGAGTACAACTTTCTAAATATGAAATTGACCATGGAAGAAGTTATAGCTGCGCTAGTCAACATGGTTTGATATATCCGGGTTTTTAGAAAAAGGTTCTCACAGACAGAGCAAAACTTCGCATCATTCGGGAGCTTCAAAATTCACCCTAACTTTGACTCGGCCTATAGGGAGATGCAGAAGAGCCATAAACGAACGGTCCAAAACAGGGAGCGGCTTACCTTGGGGGATCTGAAAATTAGCAGGCAATTGTATTGTCATTTGTGCGGATTTGGGTCCTCCCGAGGGAGGGGCTGCCTGCCTCACACCCATGTTGCTAGACTTGGGGAGCTGCTGCCCCGGAGTCGAGGGGGCTACCTTGAGTCCTATGGGGGCAGGCAGCACTCGGGGTTGAGGAGCGAAGGATGGGACGAAACTAAGGGGAAGCCTGGCGCCCGCAGGATTCAGGACAAGCCTAACAGGGCTGCCCGTGGGAATCGCCGGACAGGAGGGAGAGGGAGCCGTTCTCTGAGTGGGCAGCACTGCCCGGGGCTCCTGCTTCCCGCTAGCCGCGCTCACGGGGGGATCGGCTGCCAAAGCAGCATGTTCAGGAGGCCCAGGGGCCGTGAGCCTCCCCAGGACGGCTGCCGCCGCCGCCACCGGCGGAGGAGTAGTCATGAAGGAGGAAAAAGGCACCGGAGGGCACAGGACTAGAGCTTGAGGGGCAGTCCCAGCTATTCCACAGCATAGCAGCCGGCAAAGGTGCTCGGGGGCTGAGCAAAAGCTCCGCAGTTGGCGGTGCGGCAAAACCAGCAGGAGAGTCCCCAGCTCGCAGGCAAACAACCACACGGTCACGCATCCGCCGCCGCCGACCCTTTTCTTCTTCTTTGCAGGCATGCACGTGGGGATCCCCAGGCCACCAACCAGAAGCGTTAAGGGAGGAAACAAGCGGCACGTGCCGCTGCGGGTGGTGCTACATCTATGAGCAGCGCCACCCTACTAAGCCTTCCACTGATTAAATCCCCGCCCCGCCAGAAACTAAGAACGCCTGCTCGCTCTCGCTCTCTCTCTCTCTCTCTCTCTCTCTTATGTAGCATCGCAGAGCGCATGCGTGCACGCCTCTGGCTCTCTTAGCACATGCACCCAATCGTTAGATTGGGCGGCCTTCGTGAGACGTCACGGAAAGGAAACGTTCCTCCTCCATCCATCCCCCCCCTCCGAAAAGGCTCTTCTAGGCGGGAAAGTCGGTGGTAAACTGTGTGACTCACTTTTACTTTCGGCTGTGTTATGCTCCAGGGTCCCCTAAGGTTATTTATTGCTTCAGAACTTCCTTTAATGGGTGATAGCAAATTAATCAAGGAAAACATTTGCGAAGGAGTGTTGATTCGTGAGAAAAGGGAATAGGGACGTTCACATCATTTCGTGCTATATCCAAGGTTAAATAAACAGGTTCTCCCTCTCTTCACTTCAGGCGTGCTATTGAATGAGCCCATGTTTCAAATTGTCACAATACCATGTGGGAAGTTAGCATCCATCCCTTTCCTAGAGGAATGAAATATTTTGGGAAATATTAAAAAGGCAGAATATTATGTTTCCCTGGATGAGAAATGGAGAAGCATGTTTTAAAGACAAAGCAGCTCCCACCTTCCTGCCCCCCACCCTTTGTTAATGGGCCAGAGGCAGAAACCCGGGGACTCGCTGTATCTCGCCCTTTTCTGTTCAGGAACTCAAGCCTGTGATCCTGTCCACCATTAAACCATCTTTCCAAGCAGTCTCCATGTTTCCAGTGTCTTTTTCCCCACTTGGAGCAGAACCCAGAAGGATATTTCTTCCTACAACAGGAAACGAGTTCATCCTGGATCACAAAGGGAAGGTTTTGTAAAAGCAGGGCAAATATAAAAGCTTAGTTCATTCTACAAGTGATGTCAGGTTTTTCCAATTTTGTGATGTATACATTGCAAATGTGTGATTTTGTATGTTAAATTTAATTGGGAAGAACCAGATAAATTTGGCAACTTTATGGATAAGTCCATTGAGTTTTCTTGACGTTTTTAGAAATGATTTGCTGCTGCTTTCTTTCCACAGACAGACCCAAGGTCACCTAGCTAGTTGGCTTTGTGCCCAAGGCCACACTAAAACTAAGATTTCTCCACTTCTATTTCAGTGCTACAAGTGTTAGGTTAAACTGGCTTTTATATTAATTTTACTTGCTATAAAATTTCAAATGAATCTTTTCTTCTCAACTTTTTGCATTTTATTACTGTAACACTTGCTAATTTCTTTTTAAATTATAATATTGCATTACTTGTATTCATATTACCAATTCAGTTTATGAAATAATTATACATTTAATCCTGCAAAAATTTCTGTGAATTTTTTCTTGTTCAGATATTTGTGTCCATATTGTGTATTTCCTCCTCAGGTTTTTCTGAATCATCATAAAAATCATTTAATATATCTACTACTGTAGGTTACAACTGGACATGTGCACAGTAAAAGTAATAGCAACAGCAAATCTAGGGGACTTAGCTTTTTGATCACTGATGCATGTATTTAACATTTGGAGAGACTCATCATGTGCAGTAGCTGATAATTTGCAATGAGTAGACCATGCAAAGATGACACAAATGGGATTTTGAGTAGAATGAATGTTTTTAATGGCATAGAGAATGTTTTACAACTTACTATAGCTTTGGGAGACCTCAAAATGGCAGCAAATCAAGTTTAATATATCAAAGAAAAATATATTGCCTACTACAGACATAGGCCAAAAGTGACATCATAAAGAGGTAAGCAAGTTATTTAGATGTACAGTGCAATTCCCAACTTTCTAAAAATTTGTAAATCCTCATCTTGATCATATGCACCTTTGCAAACAAGACATTGGAGTATTTCAAAACAATGTTTATTTGGTCTTTTAGGAAAGAGCATGGTAAAATTTTGACACTGAGATTTTATCATTTCCAATATTACATTTCCAATCATACCCATTTTCAAAATCAAATAAAAAACAAATCTCAAAAGGGTACATTCTTGCTTCCACATCTGAGAAAGCAGTGCGTTATATGGAAAACCACAATGTATATGGGATGGGATGGGATGGGATGGGATATGGGAAAAGGAAAATAACACACAAATATAGACTTTAGAGTTGTGTAACATTTCAGGCTTGATTCCAAAAAGGTATTTCTGAAAGTGTCGGGTTTACAGTGCTGATGTCATTTAACAAAAGACACAATACTTTTCCAGTTTTTTTATTGTTGTAAATCTTGACATTTTACTGTTTCAGTACAATATCTGTACAGCATTAATTGAAAAGTATTGACATTTTGTGCTTAGATAAATTATATTTTGGAAATAGACAGAAACATTCTATCATAATTTATTACAAGCATTAAAATGTTTGACTTTTTATCAAAAGTTTATTGTAACAAAAATCTGCAAATTGCATCAAAGTAATTTGTACAATAAAGGTTTCTGTCTGATTAATGTTGTAGTCCCATATATTATTTATATATATTACATATATACATTTATTTTTTAAAATTTCCTTCTCACCCCTATGAGTAGTATGTGTCTTCCTCAGTCTTGGCTCCGCTACTACAGACCTGGGAGTTAGAGGATTCTGTGCAGTATCTTAGCTGTTCCTAAAATAGCTGTTCCTTTGTTCTGATGCAGTTCTTAGGAACTGTTGGAGCCATTCTCCCAGTTTATGAGTTATGGCCCTGAGTGCTCCTACCATCACCAGGACCACTTTGGCTTTTTACTTTCCACAGCCTCTCTAGTTCCTCCTTCAGACCCTTGCACTTCTCCAGCTTCTCATACTCCTTCCTGATATTGCTGTCACCTGGCCCACAATATCTGGTCGATTGGCTAGTACCTGTCTCTCTGGATATTCCACAGAATCTTAGCCCTGGTATTCGTAACAACCTTCTGTGGGATCTCCATCTGGATTTGGGAGGAGCTAGCTCATACACAATGCCAGCTACTTGGTTTGCCTTTGTCACAGGCTCCAAAACACAAAAGAGCCACAACACAGGTCCCTAGACAACACACATGCACAAGCCTTCCCAGTATTACTCACCAGAACTCCACTTTTCCCCACTGCTACTACACCTTGTACTAAAACTCCTGCAATTAGTACTCCTTGTAGGTCCTTTTGTTGGAGAAAAGTATCACTCTGTGATTTAGGCTGCTTTATCTTTACGTATACACAACTCTCACTGACATCACCAGCTGTCAGCACAGCTTTTATAGACAACATTGCTGTGCTGGCTGGGCTGAGGACTTAAAGAGGCAGGACAACAATAGCACTAGTGCTGGCCATTTTCTATGCAGCCTGCTCTCTCACAGCCATTCAGTGTATACTGTTCCTGCTTGCATCTTCCACTCTGCAACTAAGCGAGTTTGGTCTAAGGCACCAGGCTGGAAAGCAAGAGGCTGTGAGTTCAAGTCCTGCCTTGGACATGAAAGCCAGCTAGGTGACTTTGGGTCAATCATTCTCTCTCAGCCCAACTCACCTCACAGAGTTGTTGTGGGGAAAATAGGAGGAAGGTGTGTTGGATATATATAAAGATGGGATATACAATAAATATGTTGGACTGTCTCTGAGGCCTCTCTATATAATCTATACCTTGGGTCCTGTCTAGCATGGTAGACCCTTGCTTCAATGGATTTGGTGATTAGGGCCTGTTCTTGTGCTGTTGTGATCAGTACCTTAGTGCTGTCTTTGTTCAGCTCTTTTCAGCCAGTGTTTTCCCAGTGCTACCTCAGGTATCTGTTGATGGTACATCTCATGCAGGATCTTGCTTGCCATAACCTTTCTCAGCTTGATCTTCTTCCTATATCTGCTGCTGCCTCAGGCATTCTCTCAGCAGCTCATCTTTGGGTGCCATCTTACTAAGATACTCCTGGATGCTCTGGGTTTAATACAGGACAGTGGTTAGACACTCACCAAACCCCACCCGCCCTCTTTCCAACTGATGAGTTGACTTCCAGTGTTGTCTTTCAAGTCCTACTGAGTTCTTGAGGAAAGTTCTTAGCCACCTGTTGCTCTTGTGTAGCACCATACATTCACAGATCTATGTGTATGGCATTGTAGGCTTTCCTGTAATAAATCCAGCATGTTCAGATTAGACTGTCTAGACTCTAGACCAATGGCTAACCTTTTTGTCCTTGCATGCCAAAAGCATGAGCACACGCATGACAGTGCATGTGCACGTGCCCACACTCATAATACAATGCGCGCATGACACCCCCCCTGAGCATGTGAACACCACACGCACGCACTCTCCCCTCCCCCTGTACATGCGTGCGCGACCCCACCCATGCCCCGTTTTGGGCCTAGCAGGCATCCCTGAAGCCTCCTGGAACCAAAAATGGGGCACGGGGAAGTGTACTGCTCCCCCATGCTCCCTCCCCCGTGCATGCCTACACTGTTACAGGTGTTATGTCTGTCTTGAGCTCAGCTGAGGCGAGAGCTCGTGTGTCAGCAGAGAGGCCTACGTGTGCCACCTGTGGCACGCGTGCCATAGGTTTGCCATCACAACTCTAGACCTTGAGTCTTGGGCAACTGCTGTATCTCCCTTGGTATACTTGACAACTGGTATTTTGATCCTCTAGTGTTGTTCCCAGTGCCTTCTGAGCCATGGTCATGTGCTGACCCATATGGTAATACAGTTTGGTGACTATGATGCCTGATAGGACTTTCCATGTTGTGAGGAGGCAGACTATTGACTGGTAATTAGTCAGTGCTGTTCCCTTGTGGGCTTCTTTCATGATCAGCACTATCCTTCCTTGAATTAGCCAATCTAGATGTGAACCTGCTGCTAAACACCACAGAAATATATATCAATACCATAGAAACTACAATATTATCAAGCTTCCAAATAGGGTCGAGCTGAGGATTTTGTGCAGTATCTGTATGACAAGATTGCTCAGATTCAGGAAGGCCTGGCCTCTGACTGGGTAAGTCCAGATGGGATGACTGAGGCAGGTCTTGAGAGTGTTAT